AAACTAACGCGGACGAAGTCGCGGGCAAAAACTAGTATGGAATAAAAAGATATTAAAAGAATATTATATGTATGTTACACAAGATTACAACTTCCTCGAAACATGATAGAGGAAACATCACAATATTAGTTATAATTGTTTTTACATAACAATAGCAAATATCAGATCATTTTATTACTGAGTCCACTGTCTTTTTTTTATTCAAGTCATATTTTATCATAAAAAATGAGTTGAAATCAAAATAGATCTATTTTATACATTTTAATATTGTACTTGTATATATGTAAGTGTGATATATACAGCCTCATTTATTTACGTATAAGGCTTTCAACCTTTTTGGTGTAATATAATGTCACTTTCGTAAAAGTTTTAAATACCATAACGTGATATAATAAAAAAAACAGCTTTCATTAGCAGACAGCACCGGACAACCGGTAATTTCGGCGGCGAAATTTCGATCTCCGCTACACTTTCACTCAGAACTTGTATTTTAAACTACTTATTATAATTTTTTATCTGTTTCATTGTTTACCCGATTGATATTATATGCCAAATAATATCAAAACTCGATTGTTTAAAATATAACATTATAAAATAAAACTTAATGAATGAAATTATATAATATTGAAAAAACATCAAATTTATTTTAACAATGGCTGCTAAAATACCGATAGAATAAAAGAAATATGAATTACGACTTTAAAAAGACTAAATTAAGAAAAAATATATGCATTCCAGTTTAGGCTCAACATTAAATTATAATTTAACCTAGTTAAATCTTCCACTTGTATGTCAAAGATGATCGTGCTACTAAAGTCACGAGAAGGATATTTTAATAAACAAATCATTATAATCATATAAATTAAATTATAATAATTTATCTTAAACAAAACATGCTGTGACTGACCTCAGTTTTATATCACTCCTTTGTTTAAAACCATAAAAAAACATTTAAAAATCATTGATAATTTTACCAAAAAAAAACTGCTAGTTACTACAATAGCAATCATTAGCAGAGATCATTTAATTATGCAAGAATTAATACGTATTTACAAAGTTAATACCAGTACTTAAAATCTTGGCAAATAATTAGCTTCCACACTAAATAAACAAAAACACATCTACTGTATGTCATATTTAAATTGACAAGGCCTAGCAAATGTTATTTAGATAAATAAAATAATTTACGAACAAGAAAAACCTTGAAGTCAATAGGTTAATTATCAACATTATTGGATAAAACAGAATACATATTTGTTTTACTTAAAACACTTCTTGTAGAACTTACTCATCTTAACAAAATTTAAATATTAATATATGTCAAAAACAAATTAATATAATAATAAGATAGAAACCTAACGATAAAGACATAATTTTGGTTATACATATAAGAAACAAGCTTTCCGCCCGCAGCTTCACCCGCGTGGAGTTCGATTATATACCGTTTCCAATAGAACCTTTCAAAAGTCTGGGATAAAAACTATCCTATGTTCTTTCTCAAGGTCAACTCTATCTCTGTACCAAATTTCATTAAAATCAGTTTAATGGTTTAGGCGTGAAAGCGTAACAGACAGACAGAGTTACTTTCGCATTAATATATTAGTAGGGATATATTAAATAATGAATTAAATTTGTTATAATATTAATGAAATCTAAAATTTTCGCGAGTATTCATTTTCATCTCGTCTGTCCGTGATCACGGCTGCTGTAAAGTAACCAAATCGGCGGGAGTATGTTGTATATAAAAATCAAAAATAAAAATCGCGTAATAAATCGGAAAATTTTACTTTCATTAAAAATGGTCACAATATTGTGCTAGCGTCACTTACATATACAATTAAAATTAATATCAGATAATTTATACCACTTTTCAATAAAACCACGTCTTTAAAGGTAAAACGACTGAGACATTATTTCCCACAGGGAGGTCAGACACTCTATCTAAGGAATATCAATTCAAAATTAATTTATGTAATCATTTTAAATCATTGATATAATATTATTTTTTTAAATAAATTCTTCCCTTTTATTATAAATAACTATGTATATCGTACCTAAATGGAAGAAATCTTAAATTATTTATTCTAAATATAATTGTGACTTGCTTTCTTTTATATACGATTCGTAATACATAAATAATTATACAACTGTTTTGTAATATCTCTTATAAGGTCAAGGTGAAGATTTCAAGTTACAGAACAATAAGTCATATTGAATACAATTGAATCTTTTGTATGTAGGTGTACACACACAGACACATTTATATTTACCTAATATATGGGAATTTGATTGGCACTAGTTACAATTCGACTCTCGAAAATGCACGAAAGTCTTAATTGAAAATCTTTTTTTTTAACTAAAAAGTGGCAAACGAGCAGACGGCCCACTTGATGGTCAGTAGTGACCGTCGCCCATGGACATCCGCAACATAGATGTTGCGGATGCGTTGCCAACCTTACTTGTGGGGGAAAAGGGAGGGGTGGGAATAAGGAAATATAAGGAAAGGTTGGGAACAGGGAAAGGGCAACCGGCTCTCTCACTCATCGGACGAAACGCAGTCATTACTGACTACTTCACGCCGATCTTCTGTGAGAGGGTGGTACTTCCCCTGCCGAGCAAGCCCATATTCGAGCTGTAGTAACTAAACTACAGCAAGGCTCTACCACCAATATATAAATTCTATAAGAAAATCAAAATCAAATTGTGTCAAGCTATGAAGTAATAAATTACTATTTATAAAAACGTCATATAACAATAAGTTATTAATATTAAAAACCATTACATACATATTTATAATCTGTGACATCGCTTCTATAATGTCACTCTTTTGACATAATTCATATTTTAATTCAAGTTTATTTCAATGTCAGAGTTAAGAACCATAGACATTAATTTGACATGAAAAAGCTTAATTCGATATACAGAATGCACGTTTATATAAAAAATAAAAATATTTATACAAAACTTTATGAATTCATATTAATGAAGAAGGTGGTAATTTTTTTTAATAGCATAGATCTGATTATATGTTGAAACTAAACCAAATACCTAATATGTATAAAAATAACAACTGAATATCGTTTTCAATAAAGTTTTGATATTTTTATATATGTATATAAAGAGGGCTACCGAGCAGACGGCCTACGTGACGGAGGTAGTACCGTCGCCCATAGACATATGTACGCAACATAAAAGATGTGGATGTATCGCCTTGTTTAGGAAAGAAGGGGAGGAAAAATGGAAAAGGGAGGGAAAAGGGAAGGGGTAGTTAAGGATGGGAAAAGGGCATGACTAAAAGTTGAATTTTCATTTAAGTAAGCTCTATGTTAATGCAAAAAATGAATAAATAATTCATATTCGGTTCATCGCCCTCGATTTATTAAATCAAAACCGACTGTCACGAACTTTACGTAGTTATAAAACAATGGATTCGTGTTAATTTTATTTACACAAACTGTAATTGATTCATTTAACCATGACATGATAATAATTACTACATATTTAATTAAAAACATCGCTTATAATGAGATCTAAGATTTTAACGAGTCATTTAAATGAAACCAATATTTTTCGGATATACTACGCGACATTATTTTTTATAAAAACTACATACTCCCGACGTTTCGGTTACTTTACAGCAACCGTGATCTCGGGCAGACGAGATGTGAGTGTCTGTCCGTCGGTCTTCGCTTCTAGTACACATTCATGGTAATACATATAAATAGAATACTAATATTTAGTATAAATATTTTTTTTACATTTTTACCTGAATAAGACGAAATTAAGATCGGAATAGCTTTTGTCATTCTTTTTACATTGATAGTTGTCATTTAATAAGTTATGTAGGCTGGCAACCGGAGGTTCCAGGAAAACTACGAAACTTACTTATATGTATATTATAATAAGAATTACATATTAAAACTACACCTAAGACTACATGATTGCCCCGATGTTAGGATAGCAATACCATTCCAAAGCTTGTGTGGTATCAGGAATCTTCTGGTTCACACGGCTTGGTGTTCGTTCCGCGGAGTCAGCAGCGTCACTCGTTATATATTTTATCCATACAACGATGTTACCCCGGAAATGTTCATTTGTTTTTTAATATGTTGCGCTTACGTCTTAATTTTGTAAATAATTTACTATGAAACACTAAAAAAAATTGAAAAAACGTCCTATTTTAATTTAGCTGATGATTTTATTAATCATTACCAAACATAACATAGCTTTAATATAAAATTAATACAGAAGAATTTGATATAATCGTCCAAAAGCCAAGTGAATTCATAACTCATACATTTCATAGTAACATTGTACAGGCTTTGTATAACATTTTTTTTTGTAATTGTTGTGGCATCTAGTGCGTGAAATGCTCTTATTTTGTCTTTTCATTCTATTCTATGGTCAATTGTTACTATGACGTCATAGATATCAGTTTCCATACAAATTCATTATTTATTATCATGTACATATTAACCAATTTTTTTTACTTTCACTGTCAGTGTAATAGTTTAATGACACTTATTGTTATATTTTAATTCAATTATATCTGAATACTGTATAAAATAGGTCAGTGGTGGCCTAGTGGTTAAAAGGCCCGCCTCTCATGCATGAGGGCGCGGGTTCGATCCTAGCAAGAACCAATGTGATTTTTCCGAGTCATATGTACTTTCTAAGAGTATTTAGTCATCACTGATTAATGCATTTCCAAAGAGGGTTGATGTCAGGCAGGCGGTCGGTCGTAAAAACAAATAGCCAAAACTATTCACAACAAGTAAGGCAGATCCTGGCTATAGCTGTTAAATTGCCAGGTAGAAGAAGACTGTATAAAATAATTAATTCCAAACCGTTTGTGCATACGAAAACTGTTTATATTACGTCTCTATAAAACTATCTAATCTTTTTTGTTGATATAAGATTTAATATTTTTTATTCATAATATATAAGTTATAGATAAATTATTTCTCGTTTATAATCAAACAATTGTTTCAGATCCTACATTGACGTACGATCAAATATATAACACGACGAGGTACGCCCAAATACCGCGTCACATACGCACAGATAGATTTAATGGCAGTACTCATAACAATAATTTAAATGATACCAAAGAAAATTTATTTAAGTTTAAAGACAGATACGAAATAAGTAGCAAGAGAGATCTCCTAGTTGGATTTGCACACGATCCTTTCAGATACTCAATACCAGAAGCTGATTACGCGCAAGGAGTAAGGTGAGATGACTAATTGGTAATGTGAAGAAAATGCCTTGCAGCTTTACTAATAGCTTGTTGCTTTTTCTTTATATAGAATCTTTTTATATGCTCTTAAGGTATGTTGGGTTCAAGTAAATATATTTTTTACAGAGTAGTGAACCCCCAGAGAGTAAACAGTGATCGAGGTAAGCGTGGTGTGGTGCATCTGTACAATATGTTAACCTGTGCGACAGGCTGCGATCCTGTATCGTACAAGGGTTACGGCTGCTATTGTGGATTCCTTGGATCTGGTAGACCCACTGATGGAATTGATAAGTAAGTTACGTTCCCTGACTTCAGCTGAACTCAAAATTAAATTAATTAATTTAATGAGGACTACTCATTTAAATGCAACTAAGGCTTTCGGAAGAGACGGAACGGTATTATGCAGTCACAAAACAAAAAAGCATAGTATATCCGAAAATCTTAGTTTTTTTTTAATCAAGCGATATCTTCAAACCTTTTCAAATTAAAATATTTATACATATATCAATATAAAAATGTCATTCCCTATTTTTCATACGTCACTGTTTTTTTAATACATACATATTAAAACATGACATTTCTACTATAAAAAAATATGTATTTTAATGTTTCAACTTCCTTTTGCTTTTATGTTAGTTTGAGACAAACATTTAAAATGATATCTCATTAGTTCTTACCTTCTTATACATACAAATTATTTTACCAGGAAAATATTATTTTTATAATAAATCTTAATATGTAATTATAACAAAATTCAATACTTCATTATTTTTTATGGACCTCTTGCCATACATACAGAAGCTCCGTAGTTATAAATGTGCTTTAATAAAATCCATTTCAAATACATATACGCATATTTTTTAACGAATATACCAAAGATATTTATAACCATATATCTAAACAGTTGCTGTAGACTCCACGACGAGTGTTACGAGAACATTTACTGTCCATTCTACACGGTGTATTTCCAGCCGTATTACTGGAAATGCTACCACGGAGAGCCACTCTGTGCGTTGGAAAACTTCCAGACACACCCAGAAGCTGTGAACGGCTGTGCTGGCAGACTCTGTGAATGTGACAGACGTTTTGCTATGTGCGTTAAGAAATACTCGTGTCCGCGCGGACGAGCTCTGTGCAAATCATCGCCTTTGAGACTCATACAGAATATTCTTATGTTCAAATAATGCAAAAACCGTACGATTAAATAAAGTGTTACCATTCATTATATGTAGTTGATAAATTTTTTTATTGGTTTTTTGATGGTCTGAAATGAAATTATCATTATGTTCCGAATTGTTATATATGTATATGAAAAGAAAAGTTGTTTTTGTATAAAACTAATATATTCCAACTAAACTAATGTCAATAGTAATTATCGATTTACATTTAAATGAAACTAAGTTTTTCGGTTACTACTCGTTTTCTATTATTTCTTATCTCAGTATCAGTGAGACTTTCATCTCGCCTCATAGTAAAAAGTTTCTGTAAAGGAACCGTAGCGTCTAGATTATGTATGTATATAAAATAATGAAAAACGCGTAGTATCTGAAAAACTTAGTGTCATGTATATCAATGAAATATCTCTAAAAGGAAGTTATTTATGTACAATAAAAAAAATATTAATTTTTCACTTTTTTATTATATCTTCTTGTGATTATAATAATCGAATTACGGGTAGCTTATTTAAGTTTCTTTATTTATTTTATTAAAAATATATATTATTGTATTGTAACAACCATAAAGTTAAACTTATCGTTTATAATTCATTTGCTCATGTTCAATATATTATATTACTCTTGTAGATATCCTGATAATTTTTAACTGACTTTAATAAGATGTATTGTAAATATAAGCCATTTTTCCAATAAAACAACTAAAAAATGTTTTGACTTTAAATTTAATGACATGTTTACCAGCAAAAACGCAAAAAAAATGTACACAAAAAGAAATATTCTGAATCCTTAGAACGGGTTTCGTTCGATTACTTAAACACTTAAAGTTTGTGAGTATTTCATTCATAAATCATCAAATAAATACTTTTTGCAAGCTATATTTAACCTTTAAAACTGACATTCGTGATTAGACAGTTTAACTAAGTTGTACTATTCTTATATATAGAATTCTCATGTCGCGGTCGCGGTGTTAGACAGAGAGCTCCTCCGAAACGGCTGGACCGATTTTGATGAAAATTTTGGACCATATTGAGTAGGTCTGAGAATCGGCCACCATCTATTTTTCATACCCTTAAGTCATAAGGGTTGTTCACTAAAAAATGTTTACTTTTTCATCACCAACCCCTATTTTTTTATATGCCAAAACAACTTTTGAAGGGAGAAATATAAAAATGTTTCATTACGTCTATGGCATAATGTCATTAAACCTATTCAATTCTATGATCTATTGTTATGTTCAAAAAATGTAAATTAAATTAAAAATGATTCGTTTAACAAAATTTATATTTACAATTGCAATTTCAGTTTCTATTTTGGTACCTATTCTAAAACCACAGAATATGCTCGCTATATAATCAGGTCACGTGTAAAGCTAATGATTTGACACAAACATCTCATATGTCCGGATGAACACGGTTTATCCTTTAATTAGGAAAACAAAGCAGATGCCTTAACACTGTTCCTAGTTTTGTTTTAGATGCAACGATATTATTTAATTAGTTTAAATAATATATACCTACAATATTAGTTACATATTTGTAAATAAAATTTAAAATTAATTTATTTCAGGTCAAAATTATAATTATCCATTTACTAACTAATATTTTAGTTTTAAGCTGTGGATAATGTCCATTTTTTTTAATTTTTTGTAAGATTATTTTTACATTTTTCTTCAATATTATTTACTAAACTATGTCAGCTGTTTTTTTGTATATGTCAAATTTGTTAAATTGAAACATGCAGTATTTTTTGTCCAATTATAAAAAGAAATGAGAGAGGTGCTTAGTGATTTCTCAATATCGTAACATTCAATGATGATTATAGACATTGAATTGGAAAGTTTACCGTTTATGGCGAAGGTATTTGAATATAATGTTTAATTTTTTATCAAAAATGTATAACAACATACCTACTCTTAAAATTAATAAATTTATTTGATGACTTAAAATGTACATTTATAATATGTTTTTATCAATTTACTCTTTATTTTATAGAAATAATTCTAAATTGTACAGTTCAAATTTATAAGAAGTATGGCCGTATCGATATTTTTAAATCAATGGCACTAATCGATTAACGAATATTAAAAAGTGAAATGAAGTCTATAGTAGTAAAGTAGGTCTTAAGAATAATATCAAATTGCCTGAGGCCCCTTATAATGTTTTTTAATCTTAATCTTACATAAGATACCGTGTAACGTAAAGGAAGGAACTATTATGAGAATTAACGTATTTTATATGTCGCGCCGGGAGATTCGTCATACCAAGAAAATAAGCCTTTCCGCGAATTCGTTTAAGTTTTAATAATTGTTCTAAGAAACCATTGTAAATGTTTTCAAATTACCCACTTCATCAATGTAAATAGTCTTAACAAAATATCAGGTGATTATTTTTGTTCAAGTACCTACAATTGTAAAACAGAATCTACCATATAAAAGGCCGAGCATAATCATACTGAATTAATTCTACATTGGTCGCTCTTAGGGGTCACTCTGGTAGAATCTCTGCTAAACAATTCTTGAGTCATTGTGGGAATTTGTTTAAGCAATAAACGAGTAACATTATAAGTAAAGACCCTCTTTTCTTTAAAATGGAAACCCGTGCTATGTCGCCGATATACTAAACGCCCGGACCCGAAAGCCTTTCAAGGTACTAGGCTCTTGGTCTCTTCCACGAGGATCCCCTCGCTCTCACATCAGAAGCGAGGACGTCTCACGCTTCACATTCAACCGCCGGATCGTCTACATGAAATCGCCTGGTTCGACATACAACTCTGCACGAGTTATTGGAAATGCAAGTGACAAAAGTTAAGTACTCTCACCGTATCTATAATAATTTCTGTGGCTGCTATTACTAGTCTAAAACGGACCTCCCGTTTCAAAATAACCTCCCGCTTGTCTTCAAACAAAGACCTTTCGATTAGGTCTAGCTCATTTTGTAATAGATCCAAAACAATGTCAGTCCTAAAGAGATTGCTATATCTACAATAATGCTAATTGTAAATATGTACTCGTATCGTACGAGGTGACAATGAAGCTCATTTGTACATACTGTTCTAAAAATTAGAACACACTTTAGATAAAGGTGTCTAAAAACTAAATATAGTCTTAGTAATAATTATTTATAAAGATTTAAATATTTATCTACTCCACAAAGCCTTAAAATTTTATAAAATCACCTATGTATTCCCAGAATCATTAACAAAGAAAAACTATTGAACGGTCTTGCAGGGTGTATTACAAAAATTCATTTCAAATTTTTCTAGTGTTCACAACACCTCTTTAGCTTTAACCAAAGGTGAAAATTGAAACTCAGGTCACAAGATGGCTTGTAAAATCATAATAAACTTCTGAACGGCTGTGCCTGTTCTCTCCATACTTAAATAAAACGATCCTATAGAACTATATACTTAACAGGCAAGAGAGGGGCGTTCGTCTGGATTCATCTGTAATTAACAAATACGGCTTCTATTTCACACTAATTTATTAGGTCACGGTTATACAATTATCAACTCTAAATAATCAGACCACGCGGATGCAAATGGATTAACCCTAGGAACGTGGTGAAGTCGGTACCACGTCTTTACGTCGACAGCTTGTCAATATCTTCATATTGCCAGCGCACATTCCGAATACACCCAAGTCAAATGTCGGCTTGACGTTCCTTTATTTCTAAATTCCGACCTACTGATACTGATCTCTTGGTTACGAGGCAGTACTAAGTAATGTTGAAAATAGTTACCATTTACAGGAATTTTAAACTCTTTAAAGAACTTCTATGGTAAGAAATTCTAACAGACTTTAACTCTTCGAAAGGATCTAAGTACGAAGTAGATTTTCTTTCATGTATTTACCTCTGATATGTTTTTCTTAAAAAATTTGATTTATGTGTTTAATATAGGTAACGTCTTAGACTACAGATTGCTTACTTCTTTATTCGGAATCCTATTCATTTCAAAGAATCCGTGGTGAATATTATGACCCGATACTTCGCGTGTTAAACAATAGAATTGAGAAGAAATCACGCCTTAAATCTAATCATGGACCAAGCTATTGAGGAGCGTTCTAATACTGACGTCTCTCTAAGAGACGAGTTCCTCAAGAAAGCCATAGAGTATCCCATTGTGGGACCACAACAATGTTCTGTTGTGTCAACTGCTTTCCAGTAATGTCTTAACATTTTGGATTGAGGAAAATATTCTTTAAAATAAACGAATCCTATTGGTTAAAAAGAAAATAAGTCTTATTCGCACTTCTATAAAAAGATTGTCTAATCCATATTTTATCAGTTTCAGAACAATTCCGGTTGCATCCCATATACAACACTCATCACCGTTTGAAGTTATCTAAATGTCCGTTGCTGGTAAACTACAAACTAATAACAGGAACACATAATCCTAAATATAATCATGTCATGTCTATGTCAAATATATTCAAAGAGCTAGCAACGTTTTTGAACAAGAATTTCAGGTAGGCTAGTTTTTAGATATGCTATCTCTCACACTCACGTCATACGGGCTATCTGGCTGACGGTAGTGGTTGCGTTCATCAGTGCGCATCGTACTTGTGGAGGTAAACGAATTATTATTTCAAATCATTTTAAAAAGGTTTTTTTTTTATTATTATTTTTATTGAACTATTCACAACATAAAATAATTATTGCCAGATATTTTTATTGTTATTTAAACGGTGCCCAACGGCAATGTTGAAGTAAAAAAAAGAAAAAAAATTTTCAAAATATTTTAATATAGCTGAAATTTTAATAGCATATTATTTAACTATCTAAAGGCTCAGAATTAATTTACCATATAAAAAAAAAATCGATTGTTAAACCTTTTGCCAGATCGAAATAAAGTGTAAAGAGATGTAGCATCATTTAGCTTGGTCTAGAAAATTAATCGTCTAATAAATGATTGAAGAAGGATTAAAAACTATTGAATTTATTTATAGATGAATACGGTATAAAAATAATACTTTATTGTTGTACAAAATTGAGAAAATAAATAAATAGATAAATACGTGTTACTATGTATATTGTGCATAGACAAAAGCCACTATAGTATTTTGGCAACTTTAGAACAAGTGATGCATTTACTTGGTTGTTTCGATACACCAAAAGAAATAATCGTTGACGGGGCTAGTAAGTTGATAGGAGAGAATAAAACTTTATGTCATAGTTTTGGAATTAATATTTTTGCCGTATAGTCAGGTACTAGCCGAGCAAATGGGGATCGGACGCGATAACCGTCTATTGTGGTATACGAAATTCAGAGAATGGTACCTCTGAGTTTAACATGTGTTAATACTCTAATAATAATAATCTAATAATAAGCTGACCTCATAACCATGATGTATCCGTATGTGAATTGTGAACCATCAGATTTTGTAGGGACGCCTTGCTGAGCTATCAGAAGTCAAGTGTACATCACAGATCTGGAGTGTTACCTCTGAGCTAATCACGTGTTACCTTCAAGCTAACCTCGTATCCATATGAGAACCATGAGATTCTGTAGGCATGTCTTGTGAAGCCGTGAGAAGACACGTATACACCAAAGAGTTGTACCTCTGAGCTAATCACGTGCTATCCTTGAGCTAACCACAGGTCCTTGATGTATCCGTAAGAGAATCATGAGATTCTGTAGGCATGCCTTGTGAAGTCGTAAGAAGACACGTATACACCAAAGAGTGGTACCTCTGAGCTAATTACGTACTATCCTTGAGCTAACCACAGGTCCTTGATGAATCCATAAGAGAACCATAAAATAACGAAGGAACGCCTTGTGGAACCGTGAGGAGACATGTAAACACCGTAGATCTGGAGTGTTACACCTTTATGCTAATCATGTGCTACCCTTTAGCTAACCACGGATTTGTTGTATCTTTAAATAACGTAGGATGTCTTAAGTATTCATGAGTCTTGTAGTCACTCGATTGTAAGAACTTGCAATATCCGTTTATGTTTTAAAACAGTAAGGGATTGGATCTCATAAAATCTAGTAAACCCTACGAGATTTTTAATTTATTTTTTGATAATGATCGCTATACTTATGTTACAGGAGATGACCAGAAAAGGTTGCTAACCCACACAAACGGATGGCAGTGTCGCATATTGATAAGTGTGATGACAACAAGCTTATGAATAGCACCGAAAACAAAATCTACAAAAAGATGACATGACACGTGTAGTGTATGCACATCACGACATCAACAAAATTCTGCAACTACAAAAGTAATTAAAATAATAATAATTTCAGATTTGATGCATCTCTGATTGGATCTCAACTCCTCATGATAGCGAGACGTTGGCGCTGAGCACGCACCAACCGTCAGTATGGCCGTGTCGCGCCGGGAGATTCGTCATACCAAGAAAATAAGCCTTTCCGCGAATTCGTTTAAGTTTTAATAATTGTTCTAAGAAACCATTGTAAATGTTTTCAAATTACCCACTTCATCAATGTAAATAGTCTTAACAAAATATCAGGTGATTATTTTTGTTCAAGTACCTACAATTGTAAAACAGAATCTACCATATAAAAGGCCGAGCATAATCATACTGAATTAATTCTACATTGGTCGCTCTTAGGGGTCACTCTGGTAGAATCTCTGCTAAACAATTCTTGAGTCATTGTGGGAATTTGTTTAAGCAATAAACGAGTAACATTATAAGTAAAGACCCTCTTTTCTTTAAAATGGAAACCCGTGCTATGTCGCCGATATACTAAACGCCCGGACCCGAAAGCCTTTCAAGGTACTAGGCTCTTGGTCTCTTCCACGAGGATCCCCTCGCTCTCACATATACGTATTTTCTCAAAGTCGTAAATTAAATTAATTTACAAGTTATATTTTTGTTAATAACATGTCTCGACTATGTCCATTACACATTTCAAAAAGAATATGTTTTTCGAATTTACCTAAGTTTTGTTCAGTTACATTTTACCTGACCTTTCGTCTATTATGAGGTAACCAAGATCACGAGCAAATGCATCTTTCATACAATGAAATTATTACACGGTGGAGTAAACAAAATAGCTTAATAAATAAACATAGTTTCATTTATGTTAGTATTTTTTGATACTTAATTCTTGTGTTACAGATTTATTAAAAGAAAACTTTTACTTACGGTTTAAAAGTAATGTACTTATCTGCCGTCAATAATCGAGACTATAAAACACGTGGATATTTATCTTACGATTTTATCACCATTTCATAAAAAAAACGTTTGAATAATCAAGACAGCGATCAATGCACTTATAGATCACTGCACTTATAGATTTAGGATCAGGAGACGAAGATTTCTTCTAGCAGATGAAAGACAACAATGATGACTGATTAAATTTATTGCAATGATCTCAACCAAATGATGGTTGGGATGAATGACTTGTTTTCTTCATGCTTTTTCCTCATTTGATATACCAAAGCAGACCAAACAATTTTTTCAATGTTTATTGAAAAGACTCTTAATATTTTACCATGTCGAATAAATGTTATTACAAATCGAAACGCCTTTTCATTTTTTCCATACTTACCGCTACTTTTAACATTTTAAAGCCCCTTAATGAATGATACCAAATAATTGTCTTTTATCTAACGTCATGAACCAATTCAAATAGCATGATATTTAAAGAAAATTTAATTAAATTGCTTATTACAAACAAACATCTTAGCCTACATCATAGTAATAGAAGTGTAGTATTACGCAATCCAAACACATTATTCAATAAATAGCCGATTACGCTCTTCAAATCAATCAAAAGCAATTTTCCGATGTGATGCATAAACGGTTGGAGTTGAATTTTGAAATTGATTAAGAAAATATATATTCTTCAATCAAATTTTGATTAGTTTAATCACTTATTAGTCACTCGATCAAAATTTACACGAGCAAACAGAAAAATCAATTTGAGCACTATTAATCAAGTGTACGTAAGGTAATTATTATTATTTTTAAATAAAACAAATAAATTTATAATCATTTTGAAGATTTTTAATATTAATACGTATTATATTTCAGAATGTTAAAATTTACCCCAGTTTCGCTGATATTATTATTGTTTATAACTAAATATATAACGGCCGATTCTCAGTTACGTCCCGAATGCGATAAAAAAGAAGACAAGACCTGTAGCCCCTACGTTTTTGTTTACCCGTATTATTACTATTACCCTTATTATTTTTACCCCTATTATTATCCTTATGCAGTTTATGGTTAATAATAAAAATAATAAATAGATACATTAAGTAATATACGAATTATTTTTCTATTTAAATAATATCATTCACACTGAATATGTGGAAATTTCTTGTAACTCGTTTTGATAAAAGATTGGTTGAATCATGACAATTCATCTTAGCCAGATTTTATGTAGTCGGGGTGATTTAACTTAGACAGTGTAAATTACATCCAGTAGGGTCAAATACATCTAGACGGTGTCAATTAAATGCCAGGGTAGTTTACAACTTGAAGGGGTAAATTATATTTAGGTGGGGTAATTAAACATACAAAGCTTTAATTTATATTCAGATGGGGTAACGTCAACCTATGCTTTAGTAAAGGTCCTGGTTAGATCCTGTTGTTGCAAAAAAAGCTGTATTAGTACTGAATGCTTGCTTAGGAATTTGGGGATGTCCTCAATATATTAAAACGCAAGAATGAATTATAAGACAACAACCCTCCAGTCCAGACATGGCACAGAAATTATTTTGAAGTTCTCAAAAATATATATACAAATTGTTTTAGAAAAAAAAAACCTTTAACATAATTATCAACATGATCCAAATAAGAAAGAGAGTATAAGAAATTTAGGAAACATTCTGTATTATTGTCAACATTTACCTATTAATGGTTTTAGAAAGAAGAAAAAAAACTACAACAAATAGTTACAATACAGATATATTAAAAAATATATTTGACTTTGTCAATCATTTGTCATATATTACAAGAATTTAACTCCACCAATTATATTGACGGGTCGGCCTTTGTATTTCTTTGATATCTCATTCTCCAACTGAAAATTAATTATTATATAAACATTTCATTCTAATAATTTGACTAAAATATGAATTAAACTTAAACACTAGCACTATTTAGGATAAATACATATAATAATATAGAATTGTATATATCAATTTCATTAAATGTAGTAATTGTAGTAAATTCATTGGTAGTATTATTATTTTGTACAAAAATATTTGCTCGCCAAATCGGCAGAATATGTTGTACCACTGTAAATGTATGAAATACCTTGTTAACCCATATTCGAGCAAATAAACTATTATTATTATTATTGAATTTGATATGAACCATATTTACTGTCACATGAAATAACAATTAGTGAAAACAATTCCAATTATCTCACATAGTTATAATTATATACATTGTACAATCAAAATAAATATCAAAATCTTAAAATTTACTTGTACGAGTCAAGAAATGTTTGTAGTATATATATGTACCTCTTGCTGTAATTCCTTAGTACGTTCAACTATCTTTGTGAGAGCTGGTCGCAGGGACTTCGCCCTCGCGGCCGCAGCCCCTTTTCTATCCTCCTCCCTCTCCGCCAACCTAGATAACTTGGAGCACAGAGACAGCTTCTGTTGTAACTGACTTGTCAACACATCCACATACCTGGAACCATTCGGTTTAACAATCATGTAATCTTGAAAGTTCTTAAATTGGATGCTATTGATAGAAGAAATTGTGTCTATATTATTATTATAAAGTTATGTTTGTACTAAATATTGTTCTGTTGCATCATCATACTGGGACTCTTAAGCTTTTTCATCTGAATGTGTCATATTATTAGTGAAATTGAATACTTCATTGATTTAGTTAAATTATCATTACTGCATATATTTTATACACTCAAATGATCTTTGGAAATTTATAGGTACAATTTATTTTCACAAGGATACAAGCAAACACATTATTAAATGTTTCAAGGAAACTCTGTCATTATTTAACATTTCAAGAAAACTTAACCAAGAATAAAGCTTAAATATGAATAAAAAAATATTTAAACTTATGTTATACCTAGGTGAATGCTTCACGTTATGCAGATGACTAATCTCAGGTGCAAGTAGAGTACTGGTTACACTGTGCACAGAGGCCAACATAGCGGATAAAGCAGCCTCACTCTCTGTGGGTAGTTGGTCTATGAGCGAGAAACTAAGACTCTCGTTAGCAGCATTTGTCTCGTATAAACGCATCTTCAAGAAGGATTCCAACTGTGAATGAAAAAGTATTTATAACATCGTTTTTAATTAACTTTTCAATTATTTAATATTGACATATTACACATCAAATCGATAGCTTATCATCTGCAATTCTTGTATTCATTTATATTTTTGTAACAATATAGCAGCGTGATTTATATTTCAATACAAATTTTAATCTTTCACAATTGATCAGCAACAAATTATTTCCCGCCAAAACTAGATGTTTAAATATGTCAAACTGTCAAGCTGCCAAACTGTCAAAATGTCATAATATCTATACCTCAACGAGTTGGTCGATAACTTGTCTCCTTGTAGTGGTGTGATCAAGTAATGTTAATGCATCCGTGCCTCTTGCTGTCCCTCCACACACGCCCTGCTCTTCAAGCACTATACCAGCCTCATCAAGAGATATGGCTGCTATATCCGCTGATACATCCTAAGAAATAATATATTTAATACTAACTGTAAAATAAAAGTAGATAAAGTTACTATTAATTGCATATTCTATCTGCCAATGAAAGTCCTATTAAAAACAGTACAGCTGTTCCAGATATTCAAAACAAACAGACAGATAAATCTGTCAAATAGATCTGACAAATTTCGATTTGTTACAAATATTTTGCAAATATAACATCTACATTAAATACAAAGAAGTTAATTTAAACTCTAAAACATATTTAAGTATATTTTACCTAAATAAAAAGGTTCAATAGCTTTTTTTCTTGTAGAATGTGTTTGCAACTTTTACCAACAAATATGTGTCAAGCAATAAGAAAAAAAAATTTTATTAATAAAGACATTAGGGCGTCTAAAAAAGCTTCAGACAAATATATCAAACAATTATACAACTTCATTCATTTTTAGCTACACTAACCACATTTCCTGTGTCCAACTCGATGTTGCCCCAATCTATTTCCTTGCTTGCATCACCATCACCAAAATCTATTTCAACACCAGGATCGGCGCCGAAATCTATTGCAGTATCTCCAAAATCAATCTAAAATAAAGAAAAAAACTATTAATTCTGTTGTAGAGAGTAAAATCTTATCAGTAGATCTGAAAAGAATAAAGAAAAAGTTAATGTCCTACTAGTTTTATAATTGTAATCTTTGTTATATGACAAAACATATAGAAATACTATAGGATGGTAATATATTGCTCCAATATTTGCTCCAAAAACAGAAAATTATCAATATTGTTTGGAATATACACATATGTATTAATTGCATACCATAATATTATCTTACATATTTTTTTACATCAATGGGATTATAATTGCTACCCATGGTTGACTTTACACCTGGGTATATTTCATGAGCAAAACCTATAGTGGAAGTTTTGATATAGATTACATATTAAAGTATATTCCATACAAATAAAATGGGTTTTATAACAACTTTACTATTTAACTGACATCTCTATTGACAGATTTTCAGCAACTACATATAAGCACAGGACAGGCTTTTGTATGAAGATGAAAGAAATGGTATGTTTTTATTAACTAAATGTAAAAAAACTGCTTTACTTTTAGTTGATTCTAAAGTTCATTTTATATAGAATACACAATTTTTTAACATTATAGTAACTTTCAAGACACTGACATGATGTTCATAATATTTTAGCAATTCTTCTCAATGAACACTCCATAAATTATTTAAATGAAGATTAAATCTCAATTATAACAACACAAATAGTTTCAAACTTGGTATAGACATACAATATAACATTTTACATACATATCATCTTTATATAAGAAACTCTTACTAAATAAAACATTTATTATATATAAAGATACTATATACTACAATATAATATATATTAAAGGTGTGTTTGATATTTATTCTTCGAATTATTCCTACCTGATCTCCATCACCAGCTCCTTGCTCGTCCTCATATTCAATATGTATGGGATCAGGTTCAATACTCAATGGAGGTTCTCCGTAAGTCCACTCGTACACTGTGGTATTACCATGTTCAACAACATACTGTAATAATTGTAGGACAGGCTCGGATTGCTCACCGACAATATATTTAGTGAATGCAGAATACAAATCTATGGCTGGCTGTATTGGTTTCAATGATTTTCCAATCTGAAAGCATATAAGTGATAATCAGGTTTTAAACAATATATGAAAAGACTAGTTTTTGCCTGCATCTTCATACACAATGCAACTATTACAATGTTATCCCATGGGAACTATATGGAATTCTGGTCTAAAATAGATTATGTATTTTATTTTCTAAGCTACTAACGAATTAAGTTAATAAAGTTTAAGTTTTTAAGTGAAAGATCAACAGACATATATATGCATTCTCATAAAATTTTACATTTAGAATTTTAAGTAGGATAAGAGTACTACAGTTACGTCAGCTTCGTCATACCACATATTACAATCTAGACTGAATTAGATAAGATTAGTCTGTACTATAGTCTAGACTATAAATCTCATAGCTAGATGATTTTTAGAGCTATCTTATTCAATTTTAACATTCCAAAATAGAATAGTTTTACCAAAGCATAACCAGCTTTAAAGACTCTAACAGTCAACAGACCTTATCATAAATATCTGGTAGTTCTTGAAGCCTCTCCACAAGTTCCCTTTTTATCTTATCACCTTTAATACCGAGTTGTCTACAGAGTACCAGGAACTCTGATTTAGATGATGCTTCATTCTTTATATAATCAGCTCGTTTCTTTTCACATTCCTGTAACATAAAACTTTTGTGTTATATTATACATTAAACTTGGTATAAAAAGACATAAATATAACAAACTAGCTTTCCGCCCGCGTGGAGTTCCGTTATATCACATTTCCAAGAGAACCTTTCAAAAGTCTGGGATAAAAACTATGTTCTTTCTCAAGAACAACTCTATCTCTGTACCAAATTTCATTAAAATCAGTTCAGTGGTTTAGGCGTGAAAGCGTAAACAGACAGACAGAGTTACTTTCGCATTTATAATATTAGTAGGGATATAGGAAATATTACCATCTCAATCTGTTCCTCCTTAGCGATTTGTTTCTTAAGGCTTGGAATCTCGTAATTTATATTTCTCACAAACAATTGAGCCGCTTCTCCCAAATAGATGTTATCTTTTTCGTAACTCTTTATCACATCCTGCCAGTCTTTCATTCTTTGTGACCCATACCTGCCAAATAGGTTTTTAGTGTCGGCCTCCGTTTCTTTGAGTATTTCGATAATCTTCAGGCAGTGAAAGTAGTTTATGTAGCTTCCAGATAATAAAGCAGCGATGCCATCGTGAGCGGGCATATCCTGTATGGCATTATTTATTTTTTCTCTCACATGTATAATATTCTTCTGCCAATCTTTATTCACATGACGTCGACTAACAAGCCAATCCTGAAGCTTCCCTATATTAATATCTATGGGAATATTACTTTCCTGAAAATAAATTATTATGTAAAAAAGGAATTATCTTATTTTATTTTGCTCTTACTTTACTTACGTCCATTTTAACAAAGCTGTTGTTATGTGATGCGTTTTACTGAGTATATATTTTTTATCTTTCAAAGATGGTATGTTAAGTAATACTATGTTAATAATTTATTTTATTTTTCTAGCATATTTTACATTTAAATTGAGTAGTGACGTGTCGACAATAACAAAATCCAGCCTGTCATTAATCTGTCAATGTACATGTCAAATATCAATGTTTAGGAAATGTGTTTCTTGGATAAAATACCAAATAATGAGAAAACAAGCATATAATTAAGAAAACATTATAAATATTTTTTTCAGTAATCAAGTAAAGGATTTTAAAAATATCAAGAAATGAACAAAGCGCAAAAATATAAATGAGATTATTAAATAAATAAGATTTAAACTCGTACCTACATACTTTGTTATTAAATACTTAGCTTTTAAACATATATAATTTCTTATCTCATCGTATTATTGGCGCCTGTGAGTCGATAAGGATTTGATAATAGGCTGTAATATTAATCACTCTGGTCATTTCAAAACAAACTATTTGGTAAAAGATATTTGTGTGTTGTTAATACGTTTGGTATGGAAAGTCAAAATTCTTTTATTAAAGAGTAAGTTAACAAAAATGATAATCTGTATTGCATTTAAAAAATAAAAACCCGATGAAAATATAATAGTATAAAGCAGTAAAAAAATGTAAACCATTCAAAATTAAAATGTTATGATTTTCAACCTCTTCAACATTAAGTCTTTTTTAGTAAAAAACCTTAAGTACTTAGGTAAAAACCAAAGAATTAGGAACCATTAACATTTTCACGTGTTTAGATATACGTCACATTTACACCTATCAAATGTTAGTAATTTATTCTATTCTATTATCTTTACTCTTTAGTAGGTACCTATTATTGTCATTTGTCAGACGTCTGAGTTAATTAAGAAATTAATTTTTGATTACCTACGTATTTATTGTGACAATTCTCTTTAGACTTATATTTTATTGATAGTTACTTACCGCTTATCGGTCATAGTGCAGTTCATTCATATAATAAATATTTTTCTACATAGTGCCGACGAAGGTCTTATCACAGTTGATGTTTCGAAAGACGTCGTAGAGGATTCTATGACAACAATGACCCAAAGTGAAATTCCACCAGATTTAATACAGTACGTAGAACATTATAAATTTAAATAAATAATCCTTAGTATATAGTATTTTAATAAAAAATATTTTATTTATAAGAAGGCCTTGAAATTTATTCAAATCTAAATTTGTAAAGCTCGCTCTAAATACTGGTATATTAACATAAACCTGATTTAAAAAATTCAATAGATCAGTAAACGATGGTACTGAAGATGATGCAACGAAATTAACTCTTGCTTATGAAAATCTATATGAACTGCCAAGAACTATAGTGGAGAGATTTTCGGATCACATTATTTATTTGGATATCAGTCACAACAAAATTACGTAAGTCCAAACAATATTTTAAAAATTTAATATACCTAGTTCAAAACTTAATTTTTATTGCTTATTTTATTAGTCAACAATTTCATTATTTGTTAAAATTTTCTTAGATATAATTAGTGTCTCTGAAACCTTCTTTAATGATTCAAAGATATATTTTTAAATTATTACAAGATGATAGCTTACCTAACTTAATATGTATTTGCAAAAATTCCTGAAATTCATAATAAAAACTTAATTGGTCAATGAATGGATATGAAAGATTCTGGAATTTACAGATTTGACTCTGTTGTTTGTTAGTGGATGTTTCATTAGATATTTATTAATTAAAATTCAAATTATAGCCCAAAAATGCTCTAATATTTAAATCATAATTGTGTGAAATTATTTATTTATAGAAATATCTAAATAAAAAGATATTTCAACTATGTTTTATACATGTATTTCCAGAAATTTAGATGCACTAGTTCATTTCAAGCACTTGACGTCCCTTATAGCTGATGACAACCCAATCACTGAAAATTGTCTTCTGCCTCCCATGCCAAAGCTGCAATTGCTATGGTAAGCATATACACATATAAATTTACTATAAACTAGAAAATATTGAATATTTAAAGAGACTAATATTATTCACATCTCGTCGGCCCGTGATTGAGGTTGCTGAAAAGTAACCGAAATGTCAGGAGTATGTAGTTTTTTAAAATAATACAATATTATTAGTGTCATTTAAATGAATCTCAAAAGTCTTACATCTCATTAAAATATTATCCCCATAAAAAAAATATTGTTTAATGATGTTCCTTATAATTTCCTAAGACTTTATTAATTTAATATTTTATTATTATATTCTATTCAAGTCTTAATTAAGCAATTTTTATAATACTTATTACTTATTCCATCAAGCTTGTAATTGTATACTTTAGAATTTATAAGTAGTGGAAAATATTAAATAAAATAATCAGCGCCATCTATTTTTAGTTACAAGTGATTATACTAACACAAGTTTAATGCTGTTTTTATGCATATCAACTCTAAATTACTGATAAAATATAGACTTAATGTTATTAAAAAAACAAATATTACTATAATGAATATTAATTGAAAAGGATTTGAAATAGTTATGATGGTAATTTTTATTTTTATGTAATAATTGACATTCTTGTAACAATTATAATCCTTTTTCATACTGAGCTTGTTTTAATAATTAAAATTTTCATATTTCAGGTTGAACAGATGTAAGATATCATCTTTATATCCATGGGTGGGTAAACTTAAAGAGTCTTGCCCAAATTTGCAGTATCTGTCCCTCATGGGTAATCCGGCAGCGCCTAGTTATTTTAATGGTGGAACATTCTATGAGTACCTACAATACAGGTAAATATATTTTTTCTTATAATATTTACAAAATTCAGCTTTGTTTATCACCATTGAATTAATATAATCTAACCTGTATAGCTTAAAATTAGTATTCAATCTATTGATAGTTATTTTTCATTATTTATAGTATTAAAAATAGATAAAATATAGTTTATATTACTCCTTAACATATTAGCAATCTACCAGTTACATTCCTGCTAAAATCAGTGTTTTAGTTTGTTAAATTAGGCAGAACAAATAGACAGACAGAAAAAAAATACAAAAAGATTGGTATATCCCAGTGGCGTGCGCATAAATGCAAATAAGCACTGCATACCCTACCCATAAAATAACTAAACCTATATTGTTTTATTCTTACTAACATACTTTTAATTATACATCACAAAATACAAATGTTAACAGACATTCAAAATACATTTGATTCATGATTTTTTTTAATAAGTGCCATCTATCAATGTAAAAACGAAACATTTTTGATCGGCCGCTGCTAACTGCTAGCGCCGCTATGCAGCCAGAGCGGCGATATGCACAACCACTGTGTTTATTTTCCATACAAAAATTCTCAAGGACGACCTACAAATCTTGTGTATGTATACAGAAAGTGTCGTGTCGTAGAAAGTCCGTTAATTGTTTAATGAAACGGGACTCTCTGATTGGTCGGTAAACTGTTCATAATTTTTTTATTTAAATCAATACTCGCGAAAGATATCATTATTATCAATGTTTTAGAGGAGGAAATGATGAAAATTGGTATTTTATTTTTCAAACATATTCTGTTTACCCTACTCTAAATTTCTGTGCACGCCACTGGTATATCCACCATATATACAGGGTGACTGGTGAATTACTATCAATATTTAAGGAGAATACTCGGTACATGATTCTCATTCGAATTATGTAAAAAAATAGGTACTTAATTTTTGACCAAATTTCCGTATAAATAAATAAAGTGTGGACACGTTCCAAGTGTTCCAAGTGTGGACGCGTGCAGCGTGCTGATACAACACCACGCCGCCGCACGCGTGTGTGTGTATACCTAATCTGTAGGGTGTTCACACGATGCGTAATTATTTACATAACTTTTGGTTAACTTTACTTAGAAGTTTATTAATATTTATGTTAAATTAATTTTTATTTTGTCATATATGATCGTCAAATATCACGTCCTCAAGTATCGATAGTAATTCACCAGTCACCCTGTATTTAGTAGAAAGTAATTTATTTAATAGCACAAACATTCTCATTGTTTTTAATTATTATAGATGAAATATTACAAACAATATTATTAATATAATTTATGTTTAAACCCACAGGCTTTTCGTTGTATCCCAGTTTCCCTCCCTTACTCATCTGGATGACAGAAAAGTGACAGATGACCAGCGTTCAGAAGCCCACAGATTATATAAGAGGCCATTACTTGAGAGGATTATCAAACCTGGCTCAGGAAGTCTATCTCAACTGATGACCAGTTCCGTAACTTGGAATTCAGTTCATAATAAGCTATCATCCTTGTGGGGAAAAGATAGAAATCAAGGAAGAAATTTACTTATATAAGTAAAAATTATATTTAATTCCATTTAAGATATAATGTCAATGAATTTGTGTAGAAGTTTTTGGGTCATTATATAATTATCTTTGCATAGTTCAATCAATAATAAAATTCCTATTGGCTATTCCTATATGGATAAATTGAAAATTTATTAAAATAATATATGGTACCTGTAGTCATGTTTATAGAAAAATAACTTAATACTAGATCTGGTAACTGTTGCAACATTTTTCATATAACTTCTTAATAGAATGCTTGCTTTTCACATTTACTTTACATACATCGAAGTATAAAAATAAAAATTCAATAAATAAATAGTGCATGGATTCCTTCCAAGCGGAAGAAGTGTAACCTCGTAGTGTTGGGATGAAAACAGGAAGGGGTAGAAATTGACTTTTATGTAATTTTTTGTGTTTCTTTAAGACAAACTTTTTTAATGTTACTTACAAGTCACAATTGATAGCCCACTGTGTTCTAGCGCCACACATTCCCTCTCATTCTAGGGGGCGTTGAAAGTTTAACGCAACCTCGTTGGATGTTGCATAAGAAATTTCACTTCAAAAACTTTCTGATAAATGAGCAACTCTATTTGTTTTAAGTCTATACTATAGATGTTTGAAATGTTACCATATAAAAGCCTATTTAATTATAAGTATTGCAATATGTTTAGTTTTAAGTGATTCGAATTTATTTTAAATATAAACGCATTTCGGTTGTGTGATTTGCCAAATAATTGTGCCTTTTTATATGTATTTTTAAAAAATATACTTTTTATTAAGGATTGGTCTTTACAGCTGTTTATCGCTTGAAGTTATGTTAGTCGACTTTTTGTCTTCTACGTTTAATTTATTTATACTTACTTCAAGGTCAATTAAAGACAATATCTTACTAATTTTTTTTATTAATAAATTACTAAATTACGTGTTTTTGTTTTATTTAATCGTATAATTCAAATTTTGGTCGTTTCCAAGCCGTTAGATCCACGTGAGGTATGGAAATGGTGTCTTCGCAAGATAGTTTTGGATTATAAGTGCTTTCTATTTCGAAGGCTTTCTTCTGTACGAACTCAACATCCGTGTTGTCGCATATAAGACGTGCTATCGTCGCTTTCTTGATCTCCTTGAGTTGATCTGAAGAATTTTAAATGGATAACATATTAACAAAATAAGATTTCAATGAAAATCAATAATAAATTCTTAAAAATTATATGTATCATCCAAGTTTAATAATATAGAAAGAAAAATGTCTGCCCGTGATCACGTTTGCAGCAAAGTAACCGAAACGTCGGAAGTTTATCGTCAAAAATAATTATTTATTAACGCGTAGTAATCCGAAAATATTAGTTTTATTTCAATGAATATTCTCTAAAAAATAAGATCTCATTAAATTGTACGATTTCTTACCTGGTGTAAAAGAATGTGGCATTTCGCTATTATCATAGAAGAATCTATCTCCAACCCTGGTTCTATAGAACTGTTCAGCCACTATGCACTGGAAGGTGTGACCGAGTATCGAACCTGGTACATCACGCTCCATAGCGCCCCCAACGAACAGATCTATGTCATCCACTGACTCATACAGTTGTGATAGAGCGTTGATTCTCTGAAAAATCATTCAATAATATATAACTGTGATGTTGTTTCATAAAATTATAGACGGTACTCACATCCTGAGATATTTCTCCCGATAAATCTTGGAATGTTCTCGCTCTTAATAGACCGCAAATTTCCCTAAAATAACGAAATTTATTGTTTTATAATGAAAGCATAACAGTATATTGACTTTCACTTGCGATTTCAGCAGTATATTTCAGATTTAACTTAAAACCCCGCCATTATATAAATGTATAAAAGTAAAATATATATTTTTATTTATTCCCATTTTTATTCCACAATTATACGTAGTTAAATAATGAATTAATTTAAATATCAAACAGAAATTATAAATTAAATCAAATTTGTTAGTCACTTCTATTTTAAAACATACAATTAATACACTTTTCCAAACAACCAACAATTCATGTATTCTTTTTACGACATCAGTTCATGTTTTTTTTATATGTACCTATTTCTGTTTTTCTAGCAAATCATTGTATATCAAACACATACATAATAAAAGTTTATCAAATATTTCATTTATAAATAATTTAGTTACTAAGTATATAGATTTAGATGAATGAAAACTTCGCTGTAACCATCATACCTATAGTCATTATATGAAGCGAGTCCATGATCCCTCCCTCTTTGTATGTCCATGGCTATAAGGTCCAGACCCCATTTGTTATGTGATTTGAATAAAAGGTTGGTGACTTCTGTCGTACAATGAGGATCGGCTTCACCTGATCTTTGCGTTATTATACCTCGGACAATATCGTCAAAAGACTCTCTATGAGATTCTAGAAGACTCGGATTGAAATAGTAATCACTTAACCTGGAAATTAAAAAATGAATTTTCTTATAAAAAAGATAGTTCTTAGTATTTAAAACTGTAGAGTATATAAAAACTATTCGCGTTAGTTGTATTTTAAGTTTATTACATTGAAAAATTTTTGTGTTAAGAAAAAAACGTCCATCAGAAACGAAACTTCTTAGCATTCAATGTATTCACGGTGCGGGTGTCGGGTTTATCGTTGCAGGGAGAGGAGCTTTAATAGTGCCTGGGACTTGCGACCCAAGTGTAGGTTTAAAGGGATCCTATCTAACGCACGCTAATCACTAACCTCCACCCTCCAAGCTTCTCTCTACTAAGGAGCGACGTTGTTGAATAATAAAGTAAAAACCTAAGAATATACATACTTGTATAAATAAGCTGCTTGGCATTTTTTTGGGCAGGACATGATCGTATCCGGTATGATGGTGTGAAGGAACCTGAAGGCTGCTGCGCCGAAACTATTGATGACGTCAGCGCTCACCTCCTCGCTGTAGTCACGACTGTACAAGGAGCTGGGAGATATACGGTAGTAACGGAGATAGCTCTCACCTTGGAAGAAGAATAAATCAACGATGAGATTTAAAACTTTCGCGAGTATTCATTTAAATGGAACTAATATTTTTCGGATTGCTATGGGCGAGTATTTTGTTATTTTTAAAAACTAAATACTCCGACGTTGATACATCATTGATGCTGATGATAAATAAAAAGACCAACTGCCAGACATTCAGATCTCGTCTGCCCGTGATCACGGTTGCTGCAAAGTTACCGAAATATAGAGAGTATGTAGTTTAAAATAATAAAATATGCGTAATAATCCGAATAGTATTAGGTAGTTTCATTTAAATCAATAATGTTAAAGTAAATGTTTCACTTAGGTTTAAAGTTAATCTTACCCTTAAATGAACAATAATTCAGAACAGGTAAAGTTGCGAGTAAAATCTAGCACATTATCATATGTTTAGAACATTGTAATGAAAATCATAACGATAACATACTGTAGCTAACTTAACGTGTAAGTAATATCATACCAAAGTTGAGAGGTAGCCATTCTTGATACGTAATATGTTGTATTTCTGCCACAACGATTCTTCTGGCCTCTTGATAGATTTTTTCATCCGTCCACAAAGGATTGAGGGATGATAGTATGTCGGCTACTCTGTTATGTTCTCTAAGAAGTATTGTATGCAGAACAGCCAGTGTTGGAGTTTGATTAATTCTGGTATCACCTGAATAAAGTAAAAATTGATTATAACATCTCTGTGTAATAGAGAACTTATTATAATTTTGGACCACGAAAGAGGCAAATCTTGGTAGTGAGTCTTTAAAGGCATACATACACAGAAATATACGTACACAAACATTCAGTTTATAGACCAATAGTTATCACTTAAATCTCTTTTAAGACCAAATATTTACAAGATATGGACTCGTTTAGATAACGAAATAGATACGTCTTTCAACTATTCCTTTAACAGGAGCGTCTTGCGAGGATATTAAGTCATAATGCTAACAGGAAACATAAAAAGATAAGCCTCAGTTCACGTATTTGTTTGTTAAATATGGTATAGTAAATTACCAGCCATATAACAGGGTTCAGAGGAGTTTCTCAGATCGCAGACTTCAAACTTATCGTCGACTGAGGGTAGGAAACCTCGTTTGCAGTTTGTTTTTGTTTCTTCTTTCAATCTTCCACCACATTTGCTCCGTAATTTTGACGCCAGTTTGGACTCCGAACCGTAAATTGGTGATCCATCTAAATAACTGGTCACTGTGTTCATCTAAAACAGTTATCAGTGGAGATTATCTACATGTACTTAATTTTCATACACTTTATTACGCAAAGGTCTGCATAACAAGTTATCCTATGTACCTACATAGTTTGATATAAACTATAAATTCGCTTTAAACTAAAGGACAAAAAAATTATGCAAATCTGAACTACTGCGAAGTGTCATTATTAATCTAATGCTTGTTTGAATTTGCAAATAAAAATATATGAAATTTATAACGCCAACATAGTGGTATTCAATACAGATTTATTTTTATAAAATTTGAAAGTAATATTACCTGAAGCATAAATATAAAACGAAATATCATTAATATCAGAAAAAAAGTAATATTTAACGGTAAAATATCATAAGATTTTTGTATTTCCATAGTATAAATGAAACATATAAAAATCGTACTTGCTCAGCCGGTCCTAAACTGCAGTCGTCTTTATGGGTTGTAACACTCCTCACGAAGTTCAGACATTTAATGCCGTGGTGTTTGTAGAAAGGATCGTCTTCCGACACACAAATTGGTATACATTTATCGTTTAGAAGTTCTTTCGGCAAAATATCTTTACCAACGCCTAAACAGCACTGAATGCCGCCTTCATCTAAATGTATTTAAATGAATTAGGATTAAAAGTAAAACCTTTTTTGTTGCTTGATTCTATTGATTTTTTTTTTATTTACTGTCGAGAACTTAAGTCCAGTGAAAAGATGTTTGGATTATGTAATATTTATATTTTTTTTGGTACTTCTAGGTGCTGCTAAAAATATATCTAGTCTTCTTTAAAAAAAAAATTAATAAAATCCTTTATTCCATTCGACAAACTCTTCGTGTTTTATCCAAACTCTATTCAAGATTATATTTCATCCAACAAATAAAAACGTTGAAATTGGCAAAATATTCCACGATTCCAGTGCGAATGAAGCCATAGTATAAAAAAAGTACAGTAAAACATTATATTGTCGACGTTAAACAAGGGTTTAATTAATCGACTAACTAAATTATTAATCAGAAAATAAATTTATAGTTTAATATCTCACCAGTCACTTCCATGACCTGAAATAACATATCATGGGTTACAAATTGACCCCACTGCATATTGAGGGCGCTGAGAACTCGGCTCGATATGACGCGATCACTGAAGAGACGTGTGGATAAACTACGTGGATTTGGGAGAGGATTTCCGTTTGTTGACACTGGCATTGTGTATATACCTTAAGAAATGTACAGATTTTGTTTACATATTCTTCTTCTTCCTGGCAATTTCCCAGCTTTAGCCAGAGTCTGAATTACATGTTGTGAATAGTTTTGGCTGTTTGTTTTTACGACCGGCCGCCTGCCTGACATCAACCCTCTTTGGGAATGCACTAATCAGTGATGTCTAAATATTCTTAGAAAGTAAATATGACTTGGAAAAATTACATTGGTACTTGCCAGGGCCAGGATCGAACCCGCGCCCTCGTGCATGAGAGGCGGGCCTTTTGACAACTAGGCCACCACTGACTTAATATTTTGTTAATATACTATTTTATAGAAAATCTCTGGGTCCCACGTCGGGAGCCAATATTTAAAGCTATGATGCCATAACCATGTTTTTTTAATAATGATCATAATAATAAAATAACTAAAGCAAACATTCACTCTATTACAGATAATTTATTCGGACCTTTATTAAAATTATTGCTCTTTATTTAAAACAAATGAATGTATAAGCGGTACATACAAGAAACCTTTATTTACAGCATTTGTTTGGCTGTCTGTTTGTTCAATCTAATCTCTTTAACAAATGGACCGATTTTGACGGAACTTTTATTTGCTGATAGAGGATGTAATAAGAGAGACGAAACCTCTTAGCATTCAATGGATTCACCGTGCGGGTCCGAGTCCATCGCGGTGCAGGGAGAGGAGCTTCAACAGTGCCTGGGATTTGCGACCCAGGTGTAGGTTTAAGGGGCCCCTAAACTAACGCGCGTAATACGCTCACCTCCACTGTCCAAGCTCCTCACCCTACCTAACCAAATTTGAAAAGAACCTACTAGGGCTGCCTTCGATGCACGTTCCAAGAATGTATTAATGTGAGTTCTGGACAGGCCCAAGCCTTTTAGTAGGTTGTAGAGAGATTTCGCTGTTATACCTCTCGCTCTCGTTATTTCGGTTATTTTGTTGTTTTTTTATTTACATTAATACAAATAATTAAATTATAACAAAATGAGTCACGTTGCTTGAGCGCTTTATCTTTCAACAATCTTACCATCAGCATATCTTGTAGAGGCAATTCTGGCGAAAGGTGCGCCCTTCCTGCCCCACGTTGGATGTTCCTTATTATTGCATGTGCCGTCAATCGTTCTATATTTATCACACCCTGTGCATTTTATATTCGCCGGCTTGCAATATAACTCGTGCGGTCGTATGCAATAACTTTCAAGGAAAGAGGTAAATGTGTTTGGAGTAACATTGGACCTGTTTTGGGTGCAAATAATTATGACAATTAAAATAAATTACAATGAATATGAATTGTATATTGTATAATCAGTGATAAGTACTTACTCTAAGCAAACTTTCATCTGCATAATCTTAGTAGCAGTGAGTAATTCATTCGACAATTCGGAAGCCTTTATAGCTTCTTTGGGAAGTTTTGCTGAGAAGAAATGTAATAGTGCGGGGGAACAGGCTTCTAAACTGACTCCACTCCGTACTAACTTGTTGCCCCTCTTCTTCGCCTCTTTGGAGAGCTCTCTACCACTTTTAAGGCTCTCAGAGATCACGTCAGATGTTATTGGACAATCATCTGTTTCTTCTGCTAATACACCAATACAATTCCTCCTCAGAATTATTACTTTACAAAAATTACTTAACAGGTGTTTTCATTAAAGAATAAGAACAATAATTCTAATGCAGTAAGAAATCTTTCATTTGTTAAAAAGTCTCTTTCAAATCAATTAAAATTAATTTAGAAAATGCAGCAATAACACTTACCTGAAGAAATAAATAAATTTTTCAATTTCGATGTCGCACATGACAAAATAGGTCCAACATCCGATAAAATATCGTCAAATAAACAATCCCAATCGGTATTGAGGCACGCACTAACAGAAGCAAATAATAAGTATAGCAACACCGACACCATTAAACAATTTGTACCTCTATATAATTTTCTTTCAGACATTTTGTATATTACGTAGAAAATTAAAAACAAAAATCACATTATAATTTACAAATAAATATTAACCAAATAAACTGAGTAGGAATGACTAATTAAATGAAAAGGTTATTGATTAATAAAAACAAATGCTTAGGAATCAAATATGGCGTCATCTTATCATGTCACGTCTGTTACGTAATAAAACATCAAATCTTGGATATGACATGTTTGATATTCAATTTCGTAATAAATTGATTCTAAGAAAGGTTATCGTTAAAATTAAGAAATTTTGTGAAAATACATTCTGATTTGCAACTTTTATTACAATTACTTACTTACGATTTGCCAAATTTTCTGACACAGTAACAATAATTAAGAATGTATAAGATGTGATTTTAATAGCTTTCCGCCCGCAGCTTCGCCCCCGTGGAGTTTGGTTATATCGCGTTTACAAGAGAACCTTTCAAAATCTGGGATAAAAACTATCCTATGTTCTTTCTCAAGGTCAACTCTATCTCTGTACCAAATTTCATTAAAATCAGTTCAGTGGTTTAAGCGTGAAAGCGTAACAGACAAACAGAGTTACTTTCGCATTTATAATATTAGTAGGAATTATATCATTCAATCACGTTGACTGCCGTCAACTATTAACAAGGTTTTGCTTTTATCTGTACATAAAAAATATGAAATTAGACAAATATAGAGAAATTATGTATTCTTTTATGACTTAGACTAGATTGGACTTGTCCTTCTTAATGTAATCAATATACGACGTCGTTTGTGGGCTCGTTACGTTACTTTTTCTATAATAAATAAGTGAAGCTATATACTACATACTTTATTAGTGGGCTTTACTTCTAGTTTGTAAGTTTAATCACTTTAGTATTTTGTTTCTCCTAAATTAAATCCATGACAGTTTTATTTGAAGAGTAAGTAATTGTCACGATATTTTATATGATTAAAAACGGTAATTGAACTCTGTATCCACTACCTCGTTAGTTCTATTGGAAAGTAGAAAAAGGCTAATGAAGTTATTTAAATCATCCTTTTTGTCGTTTATGTTCATATATATGTTATATATTTTGAATATACCTACAATAAATGAATTGTTTTGTTGGACGTGATTACAGTCGCCCTAAAAAAAGGAGACAAGGGCCAAAGATGTTGTAATACAGCTCCTTACTCTTGGAAGTCAGGATCTAATTGAAATATATACATCAAAATACGATCAATTTTAATAATCTGTGACAGTTGACTCCTTGTTTAGGCACAAAAAAATTGCCACACATCCTTCCATGAATTGTCTTTTTAATTTACTTTGATCCCACATGATTCTTATAGGTTATTATCTTTTCTGTTCCTGTGAACTTGTATACTAAACGATTTCTACGTTTGTCGAACATGAAATATTTTCTTATAATCAATTAGTTTTAATATGAAACTGTTTTCGTATTATATCTTCAACTCTAATGATAAATAAATGAATAGCGGAAAAGACACAATAATGTTGAAGTGACAAAGTTGCACTTCAATTCTTTTTCCTATAAAAATCTGTCACGGCTTTTGAATTAATGAAAACATACTGAATAATGAAGTAGAGAGTATTCATAGTACGATAAACAAAATAGTATTATAACCATAGAAACCATACATCCACAAAAAAATTGTGAACTAATACTTTAGAGAAATTAATACAAAACTTATAGATTAATTTAAGTCGAAACAGTATTATGAGAATTGAGAGTACATTGGGTAATAAACAGAATCAGTAATCGGATATCGAAGTAAATTCATAATAAACGAAGTTAATGAGATCCTAGATTAGATACGACGTTTGTATTCACGTACTATAGATTTAAAAGTAGGTACAAAGATCACTTAACACTTAAAGGAGTTTAATTAAAAAAATCTATAATTTCAATTAGATTTCTACTATAACAAAAAACTTGAAACAAATGAAAACAATTAAAAGACTACAGAGACGAAACTACTTAGTATTCAATGTATTCACGGTGCGGGTGTCGGGTCATTCGTTGTAGTGAGAGGAGCTTCAACAGTGTCTGGGACTTGCGACCCAGGTGTAGGTTTAAGGGGCCACTATCTAACGCGCGTTATACGCTCACCTCCAACGTCCAAGCTCCTCTCTTTACCTAACCTAATTTGAAATGAACCTTCCTGGGGTGCCTTCGAATTATGTTCCAAGAATGAATTATTGTGAGTTCTGGACAGGCCCAAGTCTTTTAGTAGGTTGTAGAGAGATTTAGCTGTTATACCTCTCGCTCTTATTTCTACCGCGTAAAATCCACGACGAACCTATTCCTAGTAAGTTCGTTAGTGAGAACATAATATGTAATTATTGAAATTGATCAAAAATATTTAATACCATTTTGTAAAAAATGTAATTTTTGAATAATATTTAGTTTAAAATCTTAAAGTAAATAATCTAAGTTCTTAAACACATGAAACAATTTTGTTTATTTACGAGTACAACATCGATGGAATTGAAAATATTACACGAAGAATTCCTTGCAAGACAATAAAAACTTGTTAAATTGTTTGCTTATCTTTAAATACATACCTCTCACAACAATATCGAAAAATCGACCAAGTGTTTTCAAAAAATATATTTTATCATAGTATTAAATACTTCATACAATATCTAGTATATTTCCATTTATTTGTTAAGTGCAACCTTCATCTTTAACCTAACATCTACATGAGCCAAACATACAAGGGCCGAGTACTTGGAAACATTTGAGTTTTGAACCGAAAAGGAATAAATAATATTTTAGTAGCCAATCGCCTTGAGTTAAGAAAAAATAACAATAATAGCGTTAATTATTTTGCATTCACATATATATAAAAAAGGGAGAGAGAAGAATAAAACAAAGTAATATAAAAATATATATTTATTATTTTTTGTATCTACTTCTAACTACATCTATCGCAATCATTTTGTTCATATTGTCACATACACTATATATTTTTTTATTTTATTGTGTACATATTAATAAGACATACATTAAAAACTTTTCATTATAATAAAAAAAGTATTCTTTGTTAATTTGTAATCTGTGGTAGTACCTACATTATTTTATATGATGAATTAAAACTGTCAGTTTTATTTATATACGTTCAGAAAAGCTGCAAAACATAACAATTATAGATTATTATTAACATATAAGGAAACTGAATGCAATAATCACTTTATTTTTGCAATATATTTAAAAAATATTACAATAAAATTAACCACGTGTCAAAGAAAATGTAAAAAAACTATATATATTTCGTAACTTCACACCTTATCACTAATATTTCTTACAACTGATAATTTCTTTGATAAATGGGAACGATAAAAAAATTGTAACATTGAGTTAAATTTTAAATTACTTGAAAATTAAGGTATTTTATTCGACTTACGTATATTCAATATTTTTCAAAAATAACATATATTTGATCTTTATAGGAAAGAAAATATTCAGATGACTCATTAAAAAATACTCGTGTAACAAGTTTTCGAACGATTAAATATGAAATAATGAAAATTCTAGTACAACTATGTGTCGTAAAACTATCTTAACTAAAGAAAATAAGTTAAAACGTTTGAATTAAGAACAAATAAAAATATAAATAAAGTATTCAAAAAAACGTTCCGTTCGAATCGTAGAAACAATTTCCACATTTGTCTTTTACAAAACTAAATTGTCTATACGCTACCACTTCAAACCGAAACCCAATTTCTTGACGTGAACCAGCGTTTTGAAAACGTGATCCCATAGCTTGTTGCTTATACCGAAAGCTGAAAATTAAAAAGAAACTAATCTTTATATATATAATTCTTCTGTGAGTGTGTATATCACTGAACTTCTCTCAAACGACTGGACCGATTTTGATGAAATTTTCTGTGTGTGTTGAATGGTTTAGATTCACAATTTTGTCCGCTGGATAGTGTTTTCTTAATTAATTTTTAATTTATTAGTACTTGTTGATACAAACGTTTTTTTTTTTGACATTAGATTTGACAACTAACTAATACGTCAATCATTCTGTCGCACTTCAGAACACGGAGATTTATGTCTTTTATAGGTAAACTCCAAAAATATAAATAAAAATACGTAACAGATATTTCTTGATTACAGGGCGATACGATGTTCGCCGGGTCTTCTAGTATAGTAATAAATTAGGAGTATTTTGAACTTTGACAGCTATTTGACATGTATTTAGAAACCCCTCTACGAGAAAGAGAGATACATATAGAGAGAAAGAGATAGATATATTGTTTTAAGTTCATACCTTTGTCGTGGTTAACAAAATGATGATTTGAATGATACCGCTTCATAGCGTAGAGGTATGTACCGTCGCTCGGCGAGCCGTGATGCACGTAGTAATGTATCATGTCATACACGAGGTAGCCTGTAATCAATTAAAATAACATATGTACTGGTACAAGATTATTAGTAATCACACTGTTATTGTGACTCAATATCTTCATAAAATAATACTATATAATCGACAATAGATGTCTCTTTAATATCCGTGGTCTTGAATAACTAAAAATATATATGTATATCAATCTAGGAACTACGGATAAAATAGATAAGTTTAAAGTACCTAGAGATTGACGCTACCAAGTAAAAATTAAAGTTTTGTACTCGTTCTATATGTAGGATTTAACATTTATTTATACATAGACAGATCGTGTTATTAGTAATTTTATTCTAGATAAGGAATTGTATTAAAATAGGTTAAAAATAATTCTGTTATCATATTGATGACTATCATAATGTTTGGACATTTAAGGATTGACTTAAATATAAAAAATTACTATTACAAAAATATATACATATAAGTATGTGTTTTGAAGGCTCGACATGACAAAAAGGTAGTTTTATAGCAGGTGAAAAAATAAATTCCTAACACTATTAGGTATATATGAAAAATTAATATTAAAAATCAAACTTATAATAAGAGAACTAAAGTAACTTAACTTGGTTGACACAAAACAAAGTCTAAGCCAGCCTTGATGTTCTTCAAGGATATCAAAGATTATTATGATAGTTTGATATCACAAATAATAATTACTTAGTAATAAATATATAGCAGAATAACAATAAATAATATTGATCATCATGTGGACTAGGCGTGTCAAAATTTGTAGGTAACATATTGAAGAAACTAAAAGCTAAAAAAAGAAAGAAGAATAAAAATGAATGAAGACGAAGAATTGAAGAATTGAAGAGATTAAACATGTAACGAAAGATCTCGTCTGCCCGTGATCACGGTTGCTACAAAGTAACTGAAACATCTAGACTCTAGACTATGTTGTTCAAAATAAATATAAACACGTAATAAATACAAAAAATATTAATTCTATTATATCCAAGAAAATATATTAATACTTCACATTACCTTGTTGTCTATTTAAATATTCGTCTTATACTAATATCTATAGACAATGTCCATTTATAATAATACATTTTATTACCATAAATATTATATACAATATTTGTTTAAAATATAATCACTATATTACCTCATCACCAGGAAAATCACCTGCCACTGATAACATCACCTATATTTACTGATAATTGTCCGTTTTTGATAATTCAAGATAAACAACTATTTACTACTCGCTAAGAAAAATGTGATAATAATATTTGTGGGCGACTTTTGTCTTCTTCTTCTACCTGGCAATTTTCCGGCTTTAGCCAGGGTCTGCCTTACATGTTGTGAATAGTTTTGGCTAATTGTTTTTACGACCGGCCGCCTGCCTGACATCACCCCCTTTGGGAATGCATTAATCAGTGATGTCTAAATACTCTTAGAAAGAACATATGACTCGGAAAAATCACATTGGTACTTGCCCGGATCGAACCCGCGACCTCATGCATGAGAGGCGGGCCTTTTAACCACTAGGCCACCACTGACTACGGTGGGCGACTTTTGTATTATTCTAATACTTTATTTATCATCGTAAACAATATTGGAATGCTACAGACTGTTATTTGGAGATATCTCTCTCATGGGGAAACCCTTTGTATATGGAAACATTGGTGAAATTGCTTGTAAAAGTATCCAATAAAAACCTGCGTATATTTCATCCCAATACAAAAATTAAAGCAACTTTTTTTAATAAAAACTTTTTGAATGCAAATTTTAATTTAGCAGCCTCATATTTCTACACATACGTCTGGAAATTGATATTTTGTAAAAAAAAGTATTATAAATTAATACGAACGGACGATAATTGACATAAAACTTTAAATATTATTAATTAATTTTACAATATAAATAAAGATATAATGATTGTATTATCTACCAGTACTTTTGTGATGTTTATATTAGTATTTAGTAATATAAACTCAGTAATTAATTATTATGGATAGTTTAACATTCTTTCATATATTTAATATTCTATCTTATCCTGACTTAAACGATACGTCTATGTATAAGGAACAAAAAATTGAGTCAGTGGTGGCCTAGTGGTTAAAAGGCCCGCCTCTCGTTGCCGAGGGCGCGGGTTCGATCTTGGCCCGGGCAAGTACCAATGTGATTTTTCCGAGTCATATGTACTTTCTAAGAGTATTTAGACATCACTGATTAATGTTGATTCCCAAAAGAGGGTTGATGACAGGCAGGCGGCCGGTCGTAAAAACAAATAGCCAAAACTATACACAACATATAAGAAGACCCTGGCTATAGCTGGGAAATTGCCAGGTAGAAGAAGATAAGGAACAAAAAATCTAGTACGATAATTTAAATGAAACTAATATTTTCGGATTACTACGCGTAGTTTCGGCAACTTTACAGCAACCGTGATAACGGACAGACAAGATGTGAGTTGTCAGTTGGTCTTGTTATTTATCTTAGATCTCATGATATCACATTTATAATAGTTAGTTTCTTCCAAAAGAGGGAGTTATAATCTCATACCACTGACTCGCTACATAGAAAGCTTCCCACGAGCATATACTAAAGAATTATATGTAGATATCTTTATAGTGGCCGTCTTTATGACAATTAGAATAAGCAAGATATTTTGTCCTAAGTATATTCCTGGGTTGCTTAAATATTACCATTGGAATATTATATTAGTATTAATCTCAGTATGTAAGAGGCCGTCTAAGTAATTGCTTCTCTAATTATTAAATACAATTCCATGTCATTTCTTCATCCTTTAACATACAAAGGTTGTTTGAACTTTAGTCATATACATATTAGCATAAAAAACTACATACCAATAAGACCGCCGGCCATTTTTATCCATGGATATGACATCGTGCACCAGATAGGTAAAAATAGTACCGAGGCTATCACCAACGCTGGTATGGGAGGGAACACCTGCCTCAAGCCATCGAAGGGCACCTGGTAAAAACATATATCATTAAAACACATATCTATATTAAATGAAACTTATATTTTTTCGGATTTTACTAAGCGACTTTCTTTTTGTAAAAAAAAAAACTACATATATGTATTTTTCCGACGTTTCGGCTACTTTCCAGCAACCGTGATCTATTTATATATATTATTTTTTTTATATTAAATTATTTTTTTAACATATTTATATCATAGGTCTAGTCAACACTATTTTGTATAGACACTACATATATACACAATACATTCGAGTACATTGTATATATATAATGTACTCGAATGTATTGTGTATGTGAAACATTTAATATCTTAATTCAATACTTATAGAATAATAGTATTTATATTATATTGTTAATTATTTAAAATCATATTACAATAAAATACATTGCTATGTAATTTCTCATTTGGATGTAAATAATCACTAAATTTTTAGTCATTCACAAGTGTGTGATAGCAACATTGTTCAACTTCTATTCTAGACATTCCAAAGTATGTATTACTATATTTATCATAGAATTGTTCAGTTTCTTAGAAATCTTCAAGTAACATAGAAATATACTTGAAAATCATCAATTCTTGATATTTTGATAATATTATATTGTATTGAAGTACAGAAATACCAAATTCAATGTTCATATACAGGGTGACTGGTGAATTACTATCGATACTTGAGGACGTGATATTTGACGATCATATATGACAAAATAAAAATTAATATAACATAAATATTAATAAACTTCTAAGTAAAGTTAACCAAAAGTTATGTTATTAATTACGCATCGTATGAACACCCTACAGATTAGGTATACACACACACACACACACTCGCGCACGGCGGCGTGTAGTTGTATCAGCACGCCGCCGTGCGCGTCCACACTTGGAACACTTGGAACGTGTACATACTTTATTTATTTATACGGAAATTTGGTCAAAAATTAAGTACCTATTTTTTTTTACATAATTCGAATGACAATCATGTACCGAGTATGCTCCTTAAATATTGATAGTAATTCACCAGTCACCCTGTATATTGTAAGTACTTTAATGTATAAAAAGGAAAAGAGGAATTTTAATTAATTTACTAAGCATATAAAGATATTAATTAGAATACTGATCACTGATCAATATAAAATAATTTGAACTCATTCCCATACTATAAGATATTTAATTATATAATAGATAAGCAATTTTAGGGCAAAATAGCAAACATATATTTCATACAGAAAGTCTTCTATAGAGAACTAAAAACTAAAATATAAAATAATAGCACTTATATTACTAAAATTATAATTGTGAAAGTTTCTGAGTGTGTGTATGTTTGTTACTTCTTCACGCTCAAACGGCTGAACCGATTTTGACAAAATTTTGTATACAGGAAGCTGACGTCCAGGAATAACACATAGGTTACTTTACTCGGAAATCCGCGGGTAACACCGCGAGGCGCAGCTAGTAAAATATATCTTAAGATTAAATACCTTGTGATGCATTCCATGTATGAGAAAATGCATTTGTATCAATGTTATTGATGAGCCAGGGTCGTAATGAAACACCCATCTGTGTAGCGAGTACTCCAGGAAAGTCCACACCAAGACGCCGATCGCCATGTGGAAAACAAATTCCACTTCTGTGATTGGGCTCTTGCAATCTAGGGAAAAAATCATGATAAGCATTTTATTAAGATATTATTCATATAAGATGTAAATTGTAGGGGATAATATAATATTCTGGTACAATTCTTTGGAAAAACTGCTTTAACTAGCTAAGGCGTCTTGATTAGGTTGCTAGCTAGATTTGTTATAATGACATAGAATATATGTATTATTGCAATATCGATGTTTTTTTGTTTCTATATTTTGAAGTGAACCTTCTTATGCGACTTCCAATATGGTTGTATTAAACATTCAACGCGTGGGAGGGGGAATAGAAAAAAATGCATCGAGACTAAATGGGTGGGTCTATCATAACTTTTAAGCGATGTTTATAAGGATTATGTCAAACATACTACATTAGGTCATTAAAAATTTATTTCTACTATTTCTTATTTTTATTTCCACATCACGAAGTTAAAATTCTTCCGCGCAGAGGGACTTTAATATCTTATAGAATGATCCATCGATAATATTACTAATCAGATTACAGACTACAGACTTCAAGAAAATCAAAAAGAAAGGTTTCCTTGTACCCAATATATGTATGGGAGAATATATTAAAGTAAATTGGAGATAAATATTTACAGATATACATACTATATAGCATAACTATCAACTTACCTCCACAATATACATGACTGAACCATTCTGTGACCATCAGGTAAATAATGACGGGGATCCAAAACATGGGCACGAGGTACCATGGGGTAAAGGTCAAGCCTTCCAACAGCGGGCTCTCAAACAGACGACATTTCCTATAAACCGCACTATTCACCCATTTCTGATAGTGAGGAGCTATTTTATGAAGCTGCGACAGAAGAGGCTTGGACCAATCGAGTCTACTCTGGAAAAATGCTTTGATTTACTGTTTTAATCTTAAATTATTACTTACATATATGGATATAACGAGGGTATATATAAGTATATGTAATTATATATTCTTATTATCTATAATTTAATCAAATTAAACTAATATTTTTGTAATACGTAGTATTTTATTTCTAAAAACAAATCTCGTCTGCCCGTGATCACGGTTGCTGAAAAGTAACCGAAACGTCGGGAGTATGAAGTTTTTAAAAATACGTTTTCTCGAGTATTCATTTGAATGAACAAATGAATCCTCGCGGGCGTCTTAAATCTCATTGCTAATTATAATTTAATCAAGTATATTATGTCAATGTATCTTAATTGTTTCTCTAATTGAAATATACATATATACATACAAAAACAATATTCTACATTTTCTATACGACTACCTCTTTCTTCCGCCAGTCTTGAGAGCCATGAACTGACCTTCGCGTCATAGCTGATAATTGAACGGTGATTAGGAGAGAATCAACAGCACGTTAAATTACTTTATACTACATAACCATAAACACAATTAAAATGATAGGAAAAAACAAAAATATCACAAAAAAATATATCTAATATATATAACATTCTCGTGTCGCAGTGTTAAACAGAGAACTCCACCGAAACGGCTGGACCGATATTGATGAAATTTTGTGAATGTTGAATAGGTCTGAGAATCGGCCAACACCTATTTTTCATACCCCTAAGTCATAAGGGTTTATATTTTTTTATAATGTAGCATTAAAAAATACATACAACCCAATTTTTTTACCTTTTTATCACCAACCTCTATTTTTTTATAAGGCAAAACAATGTTTGCCGGGTCAGCTAGTAATTTATAATATTGTTATTAAGAACGATTAGGAAATATTAAGAATTGGTTTAATTTACTGTTCAAGATTTTTTTAAATTTGAATTTAAATTAGGTTGTGATTAGAAAAGACGATTCCTATCGTTAATTCTTTTTGAAACCATTTCTTTTATACAATGAAATGAAATATTTCAAAACAGTATATTATCTATAATATTAAAATTAAGAAATATTAAAAATTGGTTTAATTTCAACTGTTCTAGAAGGATTTTTTATGATTAAAAAGACGATTGTTGTCAGTATTTTTTTCTGAAACAATTTCTTTTAAACAACGAAGCGAATAGAATGATCAAAATACTCTCATTTCTTTTTATTATCAGCTACAGACGTGATAAAGCCTGTATATATGTTATCTTATGCAATGAAAATTCACACAAAAATGGTACAATGAATTAACGGCCTTGGTTTAGTTTAATTGTGGAAAGAGAAATTTTTAATAATGAAATATTAAATTATACTATGCTTACAAAGCCTTTTAAGTATGTTTCTTTCTTTTAATTAAGTAGCATTAAAAATATTTGGTGAAATTTTTTTTTTGCGGTGAAGGTAGCAACAATCCCTCATTTTCTGCCAAGTCAGAAAATTTGTATGTCATGCCAAACCTCATTATTTTAATCAATAAAGGCTACTTATAAGTATTTCTTAAATATTTTCAAGTCCTAACAAGGATACATAGTTTTATAATAAATCAATATAAATAAATCAGATTGATCGTAGGTTCATAGATTAGATATAAACTCATTAATTAAAAATGTCGGAAGTTTGTTTTCCTGGTTATTTGGTTAAAAACAAATTACAAATAAAATAATACTTCTATTTAAGTGTTATGCTAAAAAATTTACAGACTAAAAAAAATGTTCCTTAAAGATTATACTACTACGAAGTACTTTAGTAAATCATAACATGAAAATGAATTTGTTTTGAAAAACAAATACGTATTAAAAAATCAAGTAAAACATAACATGTATATAGTACATATGTATTACAATATATATTTAATAGCGAATCAATATAATATCATAGAAAAATAATTAAATATTTATTTTACATACATTTTTGTTTCTTACAAAACACCAAACAAATACTTAGTCCGAGTTATCATCGTCACACTACATACGATGCGTTTCCCGTTTCTCATTCAATGACTTACGTTAATACTATAATATAAAGATATATTATTGAAAAACTTTTAACTGTCCGTATGTAGTGAGGATGACAACTTAGAGTAGGCATATCGTATTTGTTACTTTGAGAACGACTTTTTTCTAGATCCATATTTAATCAATGACTTATTTTAAACCCTTGTTATAAATATACCACAAAATATTATATACTTTCCTGAATCTGTATCTTTAAAAAAATGTTTAAAACCTTATATCTCTACAATTGAAATGAAATTATAGATTCATTTCGTAATAAAATTTTAAAGGAATATTTATGTACTGCCCACAAGTTCTCACCTTCCTACTATACAAGCTTTTCCTATATTTCATTCACAAATATTCACATGTCACGTATGACAGTAGTTAAAGAATAACTATATATTAAAAATTGAATACAATTTGATATGAAGAGAACCAGTCAAGACAAATTCAACGAGCCCAAACTCGATGGGTTTACTAAAATGCAGTCCAGGGTAGCGTTTATCTTCGAACCCTAACAGCAGACCAGCTCAATTGTTCCCGAAGACATTAGCGTTTCAAATATCAGATCCCATATGCTTGCAAGCAAATTGTGTGTAACATTCGTATCACATACATACACACACTGAGAGAGCCGGTTGCCCTTTCCCTGTTCCCACCCTTTCCTTGTATTTCCTTATTCCCACCCCTCCTTTTCCTCCACAACTAAGGGTGGCAATGCAAAACATCTATGTTGTGGATGTCCATGGGCGACGGTCACTACTGACCATCAAGTGGGCCGTCTGCTCGTTTGCCACTTTTTACATGAAAAAAACTTATAACACCATCGTTTTTGCGTGGGGAGTTAAAAAACTAGAAACTTAACGTATATTTTGTACTCGTACTAAGTTTGTTTATTTATATTTTACTTAGAATTCATCCCATTGATATAAGAGGTGAGTAATTCCATGTAAGTTTCTATTTACAGACACTTCACATAAGTGTTTCGTATTAGTCAGTGATAGTTATAATTAATTAATTTAAAGATAATATACAATGACTTAACGCATTACTGAACTGATAATATATTTACATAGAAAATGTTTAGTTTTGGTAACTTTAGTCTTAATAATGAATGTTATTTAAAATTTATTTAGTGATGTTTTTGGATGTATTAACTTAGCCTTACTATTATTTATTATCATCAGCCTATCGGTGCCCACTGCTGAGCAAAGGCATCTTCTCACATGGAGAAGATTAGAGCCTTAATCACCACGTTTGCTCAAGACGGGTTCGCGATTTCAATCTTATAATTAGAAATTTTATATCCAGGTTTCCTCACGATGTTTTCCTTCACCGTCTGTCAGTGGTGTCTAAATACCCTTAGAAAGTTTAAATAACTCGGCCGAAATCGCGTTAGTACACTGCCAGGTTTCGAATCCGCGCCCTCATGTACGAGAGGCTGGCCTTTAACCTCTAGGTCTAGGCCATCACTTAAAACGCATTTTCTGACTTTCATTCATATACTACGTTGATATTATGTATGAATATTAGTATGAAAAAATGAAAAAATAAAAAAAATGTTATACAAACTTGTGGAATAATAAGTATACATGTATACTAAAAATATATCGATATTATTATAATAAATTTTCCTTTTGTAGCTACATAAACCATCTTTTTAATATTTTACAATGATCTTTTTTAAGGATTGAATATTGTTAATTATAATTCTTTAGTGCTTTATGATGGAAAACGTCCAAAGGATACTTTAACTACCAGGAAAATTAATACAACAGCTACAAATAATAGTTTTATAGTTTTATGATATAAAACTATGTATATCATATATATTGCTACGAAATGAAAAACATAGCTATTTATTTTTTCAAACATGATTTTTTTAATATTTGATTTTCCATGAGACTTTTGCTTCTATAAAAAAGAGATAAAAAAAGTTAATAATTTTAAATATATGTGTGATTTGTATGAAATTATTAAATTATAAATAATACGACGATACTTAATATCAGTATACATTGGATCAGAACCGAAATGTTATTTTGATGTTATTAAACAATATGAATATCCTTAAAATAAGGTGTTTCACAATAACTGATCCTTACAGAACAATTTAAATTTTTCACTTCGTATTATTTCTTCCGAAGCAACTCCATAATATGATTTTTATGCAATAATATAGCGATGTCATTAGTTCTCAGGAATAAAACCAGTTCTGTCAATTAAAAATATATCAGTCTTAATCCATAGTTCAATCAACGTCCCTTTAGTCTGTAATGGGCATACAAATGACCGAATAATACATACATATAACTATATATATACATATAAGAAAGTCGTGTTAGTTACACTACTTATAACTCAAGAACTGGTAGGGATAAGGTTGAAAATTGGCGGAGAGACGGCTTAGAACCAGGAGACGGACGTAGGATACTTAATCTTCTATATATATAAAAATGGATTGCTGTTCCTTAGTCTCGCTAAAACTCGAGAACGGCTGAACCGATTTGGCTAATTTTAGTCTTGAAATACTCCTGGAAGTCCAGGAAAGGTTTAAAAGGTGAGAAAAATTGGAATTATTGCCGGGAAAACCCTAAAAACAGCCCTTTTCTATTTCCCATACAAACGATTTTTTGACATTAGACTTGACAACTAACTAATATGTCAATCATTATGTTCGATTGAAACAGTAGAAATTTAATAAATACCAATACCGGGTTATTGAAGACGGAATAGAGTTTGCCCGGTCAGCTATACCTATATTACTAATGACGAAATTAACGCGGACGAAGTCGCGGGCAAAAACTAGTTGTTAATAAATCGAAAAAGAAAAATAATACTTCTTGAATTCCAATATCAGGTTATTTACGGCCTCTAGGACGGAATAGACTTGGCCCGGTCAGTTATACATATGTTACTAAATTCGAAATTGACGCGAACAAAGTCACGGGCAAAAACGAGTACATATATATAGGATAGCCGTGTTAGTTACACTATTTATAACTTAAAAACTTCTATACGGGTTTGGATGAAAATTGGGGAAGCTTAGAACCAGGAGAAAGACATAGAATAATTTTTATCCGATCGAAAAAGAAGATGTTAAAACTACAAAATTATTAACGCCTTAAGGAGGAGCAGAGTTTGCTCGATATGGATTTCTTATTCTAAAACTAACGCACACGAAGTCGCGGGTAACAACTAGTATAGTATACAGTTATCTTCAAAGTAATTAACCTAACTAAATAAAATCCACAGTTTTGTTAAAAAAAATTGTTACAAAACATTGTCTGTGTCACGGCATATATAGATAAAAAAATTAAAATACTGACACAAAAATATATGTATATAAATGAAAATTATTTAAAATAATATTATCTGCTCGTCCATACATACATGGTTACTAAACTACGAGGAAATAGCTTATAGAGATAAGATATTAAAACTTCACATTCCAATTGAATAATTAATCATATTAAAAATATATGAAAATATAGAAAATTGTGCATACAATAATACACTAATATAGGACGCAAACAAAGCCGGGTGAAGCAACTAGTGTTTATATAAAAGGTAACTATGTGCTATCTTACACCTGTTTTTTTTGGATTGCGACAAAATCGTGATAACAACTAATCCATTTCAATTCAAACGAACAAACAATATATAAAACCAAATAATCAATATGTCTATACCCTTAATCCGAGTTCATATTTACGCACTAAATACGCAGCGTTGACAGTTTTTCATACATAAATCTCATTATTATTCCCTATCCTATATATATTCATAAATCTTATTATTATTCCCTTGGTAAGGTAAAGAGGGGAGCTTGGACGGTGGTGAGCGTTTAACGCGTTAAATAGGGTCCCTTAAACCTACACCTGGGTCGCAAGTCCCAGTCACTGTTGAAGCTCCTCTTTACAACGATGGACCCGACACACGAACCGTGAATACATTGAATGCTACGAGGTTTCGTCTCTTAACGTAGATTATATATTATAGAAAACGGGAAACACTTGGTATGTAGTACGCAAACTTGTATTTAAGGTACTGATAAAAAAATTTCGTAACATAAGAAGTATGTCTAAATATAATCTCAATACTCGTAAAAGGATTTAAATATCGACGTGAGTTTTGACGTTAGATAAGTCGATATCTCACCATTTTATCTGATAACATAGCAGCCAAAAGAGGTTATTTTTTAAGCGTACACTCGATGGCAGTTAAGTTTCCTAGAGAATGAATCATTCAGTCGAAATGGATTACAAAAACAAAATAGTAATATGAAATATTTTTTATAACTTTTGATTGGGTTTATGGACATAATAGATAAGATTTTCATACTGTTTTTAAAATGGCACTTCATTTGGCGTTGCGTATTCGTCGGATTTGTTCAAATATTTGAAGTTTGTACGTAGTCCAAATAGCGCAAACACGACATCCATACTTGGCATGTCTATAGTCTATACGCGTTTTCACTTATTAGTGTATGTGTCTTTTTTGTGCAAATATTTCAAATGAAGACGAATAAATCCTCCACACATGGTCTTATTTGTCCACACAACAAATAAACGCCACGTGAAGTGCTACCTTTAAAATAAATTAATTCCGATCACACTATCTGTCTTTATATCTAGTAGTTCTGAAAATCGTATTGAATAAAAATATACCTATTTTCTTTATACTAGTTAAAACTCTTTAAACTTGTAAGGTCATTGACCTGATGAAGAGAACCTTAAATTGGTGGATTGTAAGTGTAGTTAGAGTGATTAAGTTAGAAAGACTTTTCTAAGTGATTGAATGAATTTTATATAGATATTGATAGTTCTATTTCAACATTAATCAATCAATATTGAACACCCTGTATTTTATGGACACGAGTGTCTCGTACAAAGTACAATTTTATATCTAACTAGACTTCAACTTTTGCTAACGTATTTTCCTTATAGTACATTTATAGACCCTTTTAATAATAGTTCAATATTTTGAACATAGTTATACATTGACTATCACAAAATATGTGTGTTAATGTATATTAATTATTCAAATATGTATTACCATAAAGAAATAAAGTGACGAATAAGGTTCACACCCAAAAACTTAACGGCCATTATCCTTGTACGATGGGTATTTATGGTGACCGTAAGTTATAAGTTATAACATTTTCTATCTAATCACTACAATCAATAACGGAACCGACACGCCAATGAACACTACAAGTAATTCAAAACCGAGCCTTAAAATATTGATATAAATTAACTTACTACTAGTTACAAGGGTAAAACTAAATACGTACAGTTTCACGTTCTTCTTTACTAATATATGATAGAAACATGTTAGGTTTATTAAGGAAAACGTATGAACACTCGCTTGGTGTAACGATGGGACTTGTATTAAGGGTCAAGAACGTCATTATTATGTAGTAATATACATAAAATTCATATAATTGCTAAATAAAATTTCTATAAAATTACAAATAATAAAAATAAAGTACAAAATAAAAATCATTATAAAAGATGAATGCAATTTTTTTTTAGTTTTGTTGTCGGTTTAAATTAGTAGGACAACTTGAACGCGAAAACTTCTATTTAGGTTAAGTCCGCGGAAATAAAATTTTGTATTCATCAACTGTACGGCGTTTGAAAAAAATATGATTCGTTTTCACGCAAAAGGAAATATTATTTCGACTCAATATATGGGATTCAAATATATTCAAAACATATTTGGTTTTCATAAAATAAAGTTGGCCCAAGAAAATTGGATAAGTAGGTATTGTGTGCCATACTGAATACACAAACAATTCTTATACCCAACTCATAAATAAACGAAAATAATCATTTTAAATTGAACTGTAAATTATAATTAAATAAGTTACTTAAATCGATTAATATATTATTTATATCGAATATCATTCACAACCCTCAAGACTGGATACATTATTTACTACTCATAATCGATCATATAAACAAAATTCACTTTACCTCCAATTCCTCGAGGAACGCTATCTCCTTATCATCCAACTCCTCTTCATCCTTCGTTATAATCCTTCCCCGATCACTAACAGCCCCCGTCAGATTAGCATCACTAACTTTAAAGTCCCCCAACATGTGATACGCGCTGTTACTGTGGCCATACGCTCTCATAACTTTCGAGATAGACTTCCCTTTATACTTTTCCAAAGTCCCCACACCGCCGGGATGATCCCGTAGGAAGCTCTTTATATCGTACACATTGCCCGTGTAACTTACGGGAAATGATAGACTTGTAGATGCCATCGCTACGGCGTCGCGGCGGCAACTGAAAATTGTTATCACTTACATTTTTTACGTGTGATATTTACAGATGGTATCGCAAGGCCGTATCGGTTCATAGGGTTGTGGATCCCGCCTTCATTATACACATAACTAACTCGCCACGTGCTCGCTTTTGTGGGAATAAAAGTTTTATTATTATATAGAAAAACTTACAATTCAATTTTCGTTTTCGCGAGCATATTTTCTAAGTATTTTGCTATACTAAAATAGATTTTATTCCATTCAACATATGACCATTAAATATTATGTTTTTAGGTTAAACAAATTCGGAATAATATTTCAGTAAACACCAATTTATATTCACTATTTAAATATATGTATATAATAATAATAAATTGTGCAATGATTCTACAATAAACGTAATTATTAGGTTACCTCTAGCAAATATAATGCCCGCCAATTATTCACGTGTTAAGCGTCTGTCCTTGTGAGTGTTATTTGTACTTTTAACCTATTGGTAGCTTCGGCGACCTGCCATTATTCTTAGGTTAAACATAAAAATCCCGGTAGTACTCTAACAATAAAACTGACCATTAAAATGTAATAAAAAAAAGTAATTTTACGTTAGGTATCTAATTTAAATAAAGGATAAATAAGATATCAAAATATATTTTACGTTGTTAAAACTATTATGAAACTGTTATAAGGTCTCTGATTGAAAGACGAACACTAGCCAAATTGATTTATGACTTCGTGAATCCTCATATTCGTAATTTGGCGGTCATTTTCATAAATTTAGGATAACAGTAATTCTAAACCGAAATTTATAAGAGAAAGGTAAACAAGATCAAACAATAGAGACGCCAAATTACTCATATGATTGACAAAATGTTCTTTAAATAAAATATAATTGTATATAAAATACGTTACGATAATCTTCTTCGAAATCTGGTACAATGTTCGGCTCAGGACAGATTGCGAATCCCAATCCTTCTAGACTTTATAACCTGAGTCCAATGATGTAAACACCAATCACGGTTTAAAACTTTAAAAAATCGGTTATTATTTCGTGAAATTTTAATGATTATCTTTCATACAGACTGACACTATATTTTTTCTTCGCTTTAATAATTTTCATTACACATTACGTACATATATTATGGCACAAAGTAATACTAATGTCTTAATTTCTAACAATTTAAGTATTTACAGTAATAATAACCCTAAATAATTTATATCCATACAGCGGCAAAATTATTTTGACATTTCAATAGTCAATAGATATTTTTAATGTTAAAGGTTTTATAAAAATATGGCGTTATATTATAATAGGTTTTAATGTTTTAATATACATCTCTAGCAGAATGTTTTTATTATTTAAATATATAATATGAAAATGAATAAATTAACAGAGTTTATTTAAAAAATAGTTCTCATCAAATAATTATTTTTTATTTCTTATCTATATGTATCACGTGATTCCGGACGTCCTTATAAATTGTATTATGACTTACGAAACATTAAAAATGTAACAATTTTCATCAATTATTGTTTATTAGCATTAAACTGATCGATTTGAGAAGGTACGCTAGCGTTAAGTGCAAGTTGATAGTACCTTGATGGATTGGAGCGTTTTAAAATGGCGTCTGTTACAAAAACCGATAATTACGTATTGTTATACCAATATAGGCCGTGACAACAAAAGATCACTTACGATTTGGACTTTTACTATTTATTTTATCCGACTTTGTATTACTTTTATACAAAACATTTTTATTGTAATTAGCAATATAACAATAAAAATTATGAATTTAAAAGATTTTTTTAAATATAAATACTTTGTTGCACAGATCCACAAGTAAAAAGATATGTAAATTGTGTGTCAAAAGTAAAAACAATAAGTTCGACAAATGAGAAATTAGTTTATAAAATCTAATAAATTGGCAAAATATTCCAAGTTTCCAGTGGGTATGAAGTCATAGCATAACTGAATCTGATAGTAAATTCGCGTATATATTTTTTATTAAATTAAAGATTCATTCAAACTGTTGATTATGTTTTCATTTTAATTTACTCACAAACTAGTGACCTGTGACAGACTTACAAAAAATTTACATCAAGCCTTATTAGTTATTTGCTTTGACACTGTCGCTGGAGTGCTAAAGAATGCTTGTTAAGATTTATAATTATATAAAAAATGGAAAGAATGTTAAGTATTACTTTAGAAAAACTTGCTTTCATGGACGCCGTGCGACAACTGAAACGACCTATTTCAAAAGGGCTGTTACTCAACTGATTTAACAGTTAAATTTTCCTGTGAACTATTAATATTCATGCACCTCATCGTCGACACCGCGCCTCCAACAAATCGATATTGTCACCGCCTTGACATTACGTTTCAATAAAAGTCACAAAAGATTGCAATCTTTACAAATGTTCCGTCAAAGAATTTTTTTACGATTCGATAAATCGATATTTTTAAAACGGTAATGGCCTAGCCCTTAGTATGGACCGCGTTTAAATTTCAACGTGCTCTACTGTCGTTTTCATTGAAAGTAAATTAAAATAAAGTGCTGTTTGTGGGAAAATATTAATTTTACTTCATAAATAACACATATTAAAACTCTGTTCTTAGTTTTTGCTAATACATTTCAATTCGATATTTTGAAAATAAATTAACTTTCATAGTCAAATCGCACGAAATATGAATTTTAGGGAACACTTGGTTACTCTCAGATTTTTACCCAGTTAACAATAATGAAATATTGGACTAGGTTCGAGGGTCATCTATTCCAAATAATTTAATGAAGCCTTTGTTAAAATCATACTAAGAAAAAGGATACCTTTAAAAATTCGGATTATTAAAATGATATGATAACTTATGAGAAATTAAGATTATGAATGAAAGTTAAATACAAAGAAGTTTTGGATTTAAAACATGCTTAAAATGAAATAGCTACAACTAAAACAACTCTTTAAACTTTTAAAGTAGTACAATTTTTTTTAACACCTCTATAATAAAATAACGCCTGTTTATCCAAATTTCCTCCCTTTACTTTGTTAGTTTTAATTATTAAATATAGCAAATTACTGAAAAAATGTGGTCTTACAGAATAAAGTATTGTCCCAATCAAGATCAGGCTGGAACGACTTCTAAAACCCAGCGGTACCATTCCTCAAAAAAGGGATATACTGGGATCTTTGAAGACGCATCTAGAGATTTCTATGCCAATAACCGTATTGACATTTAGAGCACCTTCCGGATATCTTTAAAGGCACTCTCCTAAACAGAGGCAGGAATATGCAATCTGCTTCCTATTTAATTGGAAGGGTGGTATTTTGAGGTGGTAGAGCCTAGCTGTGGTCAGTTACTACAGCTCGAACATGGGCTGGCTCGACCGGGGAAGTACCACCCTCTCGCAGAAAATCGGCGTAAAGTAGTCTTTACTAGACTGCGTTTCGTCCGGTGAGTGAGAGAGCCGGTTGCCCTTTCCCTTTTCCCACCCTTTCCTTTCCCTCCCTTTCCCACCTTTTCCTTCCCTTTTTCCCCAATGAAGGGCGGCAACACATCCGCAAATCTACGTTGCGGATGTCTATGGGCGACGGTAGCTACCTACCATCAAGTAGGCCGTCTGCTCGGTTGCCCCCTTTTCCCATAAAAAAAAAAAAAAAAAAAAAAAAAAAAAAAGGGTCCTGGATGAGAGAGGGTTTGGGGCCAACTTTTCGCCGCACATAGACCTACGTTGTAACTTGTAGGGGTGCTATCTAGTACTCGGAGCAGGCTTAGTTGATACTCATACTGCCGGAGACTAAGCAGAAACATTCATTTCACTTAATACAACTTAGAAGGAAACCCTGCTGGCCACGGTAACTTTTCCAGGACATGTTTCAAGTTAATATCTCAATCCAATGTGGCTATATAACATCAAAGCGAGTTATTTTTGCCTAAATACTGTAACGTTAGTACTCTTAATAGTTTTATGAACAGTTAATTTGCTACATGTACTCTGGCAGTTAAGTTTCCAAAAAAATCGGGAATAAAATAGGCTCAATATAAATTTTCCTTACGAATAAAAAATCTCTAAAATATGAAGGATGAAATTTTGGAGAATACTTATGAAGAAAACAGATATTAGATAGTTTATTATATTAATATATAAGAGAAATAAGGAAAAGAGCCATAGTAACATATAAATTTGATACATATATTTTAGAGAACATTTCATATTCGTTAAAGGAAATAATTTCTTTAAAATTTTAAATATGTATAACGACATTTGCCAGGCTTTTCTGAAATATCGTAACCTTTTATCACAAGTATTGGACAAGAATGACTTTTGAATGTATCTGTTCCTTCTATTAAAGAATTGTAAATTATGAGTCAAATAATGTAGGTAAGGGACTTAATGTATATGGGATAAAATAAATGACACAGATATTAAAGGTCAAACTAAAACAGTAGCCGTACTAAATAAAGTTCAGCTATAAATAGATTTCAGATTAAAACTTGCACATAAATATAGAGAATAGAAGGAACATAGTGGTATAAAAAACACAATCTCTTACGCGACAAACAAAATGCTTAAGTGTAATAAATATAAATAAAAAAATGAGGTATAAAAAAATTCAAAAAATGAAATTTTAAACGAAAAACTACAGGACCTTCCCCTAATGCATATTTGAAAATACATAGCTCAAACTTTTGCACCGTTTGATATTTCCAAACGAGATTTTTGTGTACGCGTCTGAAAACTAAATGTCTGAAAGAATCTGTGTAAAACTGCTATCTTAAGGAGATGATGCCAAATTACTAAAAAAAGGGGAAGTTTGATAGAAGAGGATATGCAAATTCAATTCAGACGGTTTGGTACTCGGAATCTATGTCTTAATTGTTATTTAATCCATGAAAAAGTATGGCAAAATATTATGTTAAATTGTAAGCAAAAAGGCAAAAAATAAGTATTCAAAATATGTTAATTATATATATTTTTTAAATTAATATGTTTTGGTCCAAGACAAGA